GCCTCCATTCTTTTCAGGAGACTTGCTTTCATTTTTTCAAATCTTCCAAGTTCCTCCAAATTTCAGTCTTAGAAGTTGGTTTGGCATTTCTGTAAACAATCAATCAACCTTTATTTTCACTGGGAAATACATTGTGGGTGGCCCTCATCTTCAATGCAGGCGAACATTCACAATGCAAAAAGTCTGAAAAGAAATTAAAATGGAATTTGATCTGTGTAAACAAAAATGAACCGAACTACATGAAGAATTTAAGATTAAAATCAAACAAGAAAAATGAAAAAGAATTGAGAACAATTAAGAAATAATTAAGAAGAAATCCAAACACATTCACTGATGTTGAGGCCAGTTTGAGACTGAATTTGGTGTTTGAAGTTTGCTTTTTTAGTTTTAGCTTTACAGCTGCAAGACTAATATAGCTAACAGATAGTGTGAACTGATACCCCACCCATTAGCATTGTGCTAACTGCATGCTTAAATTATACCACACTCACCTCAAAGCATGTGGAGTTGTTCAGTGTCTCTAATAGACTTGATTATGTTTCAGATACTATATTATACTACAGTGATTATCTATTCGAATGCACTTTAGTCCATGTTTATAGATAACAGTCAGTCATACAGTGTCAGAAACCACACAATCAAAACTATCAGAGATACTGAACTGTGAAAAGTGAAAAGTGAGAGTGAATTTAATAGAAAGTCAGTTAAAGTGAAGGTGAGAATCACAGAACATCTACAGTGGACCATGCAGATAAAGAATAACCCATAATATCAATATCAGTGTCCTCAAATGGACAAAACAGGTCTTAATAATTATTCTTTGTTGTGTAACATACAATGATTGCATCACTTGAAGCAGCCACAGTACAATTATACACAGCCTTTGTGAGCAGTGAGGCTTGTTAAGGCTAAACCCGATACTCCCTGAAGCTCAGGAGCCGGACACCCAGGGTGGAGATGAATTAATTCTGCAGTAATTACTCTTCTAGTTTCTCCCTCGCTGCTTATTAACTGTAATCAATGACTTCCAATTTTCAGCAGTCAGAGCCTCAGGCGCCAGACAGTCAGACCCTGAGCGTTCAGAGGAAGTCTATAACAGTAAATCCAGTTCAGTTCGGCTTTTCTCTGTTAAGGAGCTTTATTTTAAAAATGTAGAAAAGTAAATAAAAAGGAAAACAACCAGATTAGCTGTAGTTTTTAAAGATCTGGTCATTAGAAGAAATCAGGAATTGTTTCTGTTATTCAGTTAAAAAATGTAATTTCCCATTTGTACAGTTGCACCCACGCAATCACATAGGCGTCCATTCCGTTTATCCACAATTACCTGTATGTGTTCTCAAAGACGGTCACTCTGCTACAAGTCATATTGTGCAACACATAGATATCCATTGCATTCACCCACAGTTCACTGAATAGACACCCATTCATCCACACCTCACTCTGTGCAATCACATAGACACCCATTCACCCACAGTTCAGTTTGTGTGATAACATAGACATCCATTCATTCATGATTCACTTTATGCAATGACATAGACATGTATTCATTAAGGATTCATAGTGTATAATAACATAGAAATCCATTCATCTACAGTTCACCTTTTGCAATCACATACACATCCATTTACCCACAGTTCACTTTGTGTGATAACATAGATATCCATTCATTCATGATTCACTTTATGCAATGACATAGACCTGTATTCATTAAGAATTCATAGTGTATAATAGCATAGACATCCATTCATCTATAGTTCACTTTTTGCAATCACATACACATCCATTTACCCACATTTCACTTTGTGGTGGTAACATAGACATCTATTCATTCATGATTCACTTCATGCAATCACATAAACCTATATTCATTAAGAATTCATAGTGTATAATAACATAGACATCCATTCATCTACAGTTCACTTTGTTTCATCGGTCACTCAGTGCACTCACTGACAAACATATTTTGTCCACACCACTTTTTCTCTCTTACAATGCAGTCAACACAAAGTGATGCATGCAAACCCTCCAGTGTTAATCAATGAGCTTTTTATATCGGACATGCAGAGTAAACAGTGCAGCTGCACACAGTTTGGTTTCACTTTGAGTGTTTTTTGCCGCTTGCAATTATAGAAACATCAAACCGTGGGTTTAGTGGGCAGGATGATCGGCTAGTGAGCAGCGCCTGATGTTTTCTTACGTCATAGCAGACCTAGTTATACAAACCCTGCTCTAAAAAAAGTGAGGGCTGTATGTGAAATGCAAATAAAAACAGAAAGCAGTGATTTATAAATCCACTATGAACTGTGACAAAGACATAGGCAGGATATGTACTGTGTGACAATTGATGCCTGCAACATATTCCAAAAATGTTGGGATGGGGCAATTTAAGACTAAGAATGTTGTTAATGTTCAGAAAACATTTAAAGATGTGATGTGATCATGCTTGGACATTGAAGGAGCATCCAGGAAAAGCCGAGTCCTTTATGAGTGAGGGTGGGTCAAGACTTAACACTTTGCCAAAGAATGCATCAGCAAAAAATCCACCTGTTTAAGAACAGAGGTGGGCGATATGGCAAAAATATAACATTGCGATACTTTTCACGATACACGAGATGTCATAATATTTATTTTTTCAGACATCTGAAACAGAGAAAAAGAACCAGCAGTGCTACACAAAGTATACTAACAACAACTGTAAACACAATGATTTCTGTTCAATATTTGGCACTAAATCCAGTTATACAGGACTAATTCTGCTCTCTTTATAATGAAACATGCAGTTAGTCAGCGTCTACAAGCACTGACAGTATACACAGTATGATCAGAAAAGCTGCTGGAGTCTTTAAACACCTCAGTGTCACTGCTGGACTGAGAATAGTCCACCAACCAAAAATATCCAGCCAACAGCGTCCTGTGGGCAGCGTCCTGTGACCACTGATGAAGGACTAGAGGATGACCAACACTGTGCAGCAGCAGATGAGCTATTGTCTCTGACTTTACATCTACAGGGTGGACCGACAAGGTAGGAGTGTCTAATAGAGTGGACAGTGAGTGGACACAGTGTTTAAAAACTCCAGCAGCACTGCTGTGTCTGATCCACTCGTACCAGCACAACACACACTAACACACCACCACCACGCCAGTTTTACTGCAGTGCTGAAAATGATCCACCACCCAAATAGTACCTGCTCTGTGAGGGTCCATGGGGGTCCTGACCACTGAAGAACAGGGTAAAAGGGGGCTAACAAAGTATCAGAGAAACAGATGGACTACAGTCTGTAACTGTAGAACTACAAAGTGCACCTATATAGTAAGTGGAGCTGATAAAATGGACAATGAGCGTAGAAACAAGGAGGTGGTCAGAATGTTACGCCTGATCGGTGTGTTTACAAAATATAATGAAGTTCTTAAGGTGAAACATTAAATGCTGTGTTTTTGTACTGATTTCAGTTTAATGCAGGATTCAAACAGAACTGACTAATCGCTGTTTTCTGTTTTTTAAAAGCACTTTCACACGCTGTCCCAACTTTTTTGGAACAGTGTTTATAATAATATTTTGTTATTTGTTTTTACTGTCTAGTTGCAGCGCTGCAGGTCGTGCTCAGCGTTCACTGCCCGTTATGTGGTGATCACTTGAGAGGTATATGGTTTGTAAAACAGGTGTTTTGAGGTCGCGACGCAAACCAGAATCATTTCATCTAGATGTTAGCACATGTGAGACACACACCGCACACAGTTCTGAGAAACGGATGGAGCTGGAATAGTGAGACCACTTCCTTTACGAAACAGTGCGGTGTGTGAAAACTTTCTTACAGGTTCAAAGTGGCAGCTCAGAAATGTGACCTTAAGATTTGGGCCTTTATATTTTAATGAAGGGTTTACATTGACAAGCGTGTTATACCAAAGCTTTCTTTGCCTCCCTGATTCTTAAACAATGCGTTTATTCTTTTCCTTTCTTCTTACATGAATCAACAATATGCTGTCAAAAAGTTTGGGCACCCCTTCCAAATTCCATGTTATGGTAATAGTAATAATAATAATTTAATTTATTTATATTGTATTATTTAATACACAATTACTGTTTATTAGCTAAATTTAACAGAGAAAAACATAAAATGTAGACTGTGTGAATGTTTTATCATATTTTATATTGTTTATTTAGTTTTTTTTCCAATTTGTTAAACAAAATAAATGGAAAAAAAAATACAGTAAAAAACAAATATTGCAGTGCTTCAAGAAATTTTCACGATACATGATATGTCACGATTTTTTTTTTCAGACTTCTGATCAGCTGGAACAGAGAAGAAGCATTGCTACATTTTAAAAAATCTATCAAAAACTGTAAACACAGTGATCTATATTTAATATTTGTCAATAAATCCACTTAAACTGGACTAATTTTGCTCTCTTTATAATGAAACGGGCAGTTGGTCAGTGTCTACAAGCACTGACGACAAATACCATGTGATCAGAAAAGCATACTGTGTTGTATTGTGAAATAATTTATAACAATAACGATATATATTATCGTATTGTCCAGCCCTAAAAAATGCACAGGAAAAGTTTGCAGAAAAAGTGTCATATTTGACTCTGTGGAGGACGTGTAACTTATTTTTACTTAGAAAACCAACAACAACATGGAACTTGTAATGTTTTGTATGTGTGTGCAGTAAACATCTGCTAAAGCATGTTTTACACATGTGGCGCCTGAATGTAACAGCTGCACCGTTTAAGGTGGAACAGAAAATGATGTATTCTTGATTATTTACACAGTCCAGTGGGTGGTTCTTTAGGGAACCAAACATGGTTCTTCTCTGACACTGCAGCAAAGAACCTTTTTTGGCACCTGTATTTTTAAGACTGTGCTCTTGGAGATCAGCTATATTCATAAAAAAGTTAAGAAATTGTGTGTTTGTGTGTCAATTAACTCAATATTTTTGAGATTGAATTTTGCTGTAAAAAATATATTGATCAGTTTTTTGATGTTTTTATCGTTGCAGGTGATCGACACGTTGTCCAAACTCTCCCACACACCTGTTGCACTGCAGTCAGGAATCAGGTGAGTCTATATGCAAAACATCACACTGTTAGAAATGAAGGTTCTGTTCAGGTACGTTTTTCGTTCATCAAGGTACAAACAGTGTAAATGTTCCCTCAAAGCTCCAACAGTGGTTTTAAGGTCTGATTGTGAACCTTAAATAAGTGTTTTCCAGGTGAAAAGTTCGTATTTGTACCTTTTCATAACCGAATGTTTTAAACAGAACAGTAAAATAAAAGCCTGGAGGCGAGACGGGGTGTGTGGAGTCAGTACAGCTTAGAACATATCATTTCAGTGGATTATGGTTCAGTTATGTTCCCTGATCAAAGGTACTGAGATGGACCCTTGACGGGTTCCACCCCAGTGACAAGAGGGGAACTGACCCAGTGACAGTTTAGTACCTTTATTTCTGAGAGTGTAGAATGATTAGCTTTAATTTAACCTCTAACAGCCAAACTCGGCTGAATGAATGACTTGTGTGTTGCTGTGTGTTGATCTCAGGCCGTTTCCCACAGAAGAGAGTGTGGAGAACGAAGACATCTACATCCACCTGGCCGACCTTATTGAGTGAGTGTGAATTTGCTCTTTAACTCTTTAAACTAAATTAACAAAATTTCTTCCTTTTAATCTACTCTAACCTTAATATTGTGATTTCTCAAACGTGTTTTTATATGTAAAGAACATTATCTGACATTTTAAGCAGCCAAACACATGAATATGACTGTATTTCACACTTAGGTGGCCTTTTATTGTCACTCTAATGAAACAGATCAATAATAGTTGTTTCCACAGTGATGTGAATTGCATTCTGAATGTGTGTGCATGCTCTAAAAACAGCTGAATTGCTATGGTGTTTGAGGGGGTTGTTACAGTGTCCCTGGTGGTTGCTAGGGAGTTGCTGGGTGGTTGCTATGGTAAGGGATAGAAAATAATATATAATGCAAAAAATAAAAATAAAGAAACAAACAAAGCAACCTCTCTCACTCAAAGTAACCATATTTAAGAGTAACTGTTGTGACCCAGCATTATTAACATAATCCAGCAATGCTGGGTCAGATTAACCCAGTGTGTGTTCTGTTATGTAGTGACCCAGTGCTGTTATGAAAGTCAGTCATATTGAGTTGTTTTTAATCCAGTGCTTTTTATGAGTGCACAACACTGAAGGCAGCATGGAGCTTCTTTAATACAGTGATAGGAAACACAGTCACTCACAGAAAGCTCCAATTCCACATACTGATCCATTTTACTGACCAGCATGGACACTGACACTCTCCAACTACTCAGGGGTCGGAGTTTAATCAGTTAAAGCAATTGTTTAAGCCAAAATTCATAGGCAAGGCAAGTCGAATTTATTTATATAGCACCTTTCATACACTGCGGTCATTCAAAGTGATTTACAAATATAAAGATAATTCAGATTAATTTGAAAAAAAATGTAGGAGCACAGAAATTAAAACACAATTAAAAAAGAAAGAAATTAAGCATTAAATTTAAAATCAGATTAAAGATGAAATGAGGATAATAGTGTGGCGTTAGAGGAGAGAAGTGCAGTAGAGCTAACAGTGTTTTTTAATTGTTATAAAGATGTTTGAGATAAAAAAACATCTCTAAATGCCAAAAACACTGATAAATAAATAAATAAAAACATACATTACTAAAAAAACAGTACTCTTAAAAAAGATGGTTCTTCAAGTTCTTTAGTAAGACAGTGGTTCTATATAGAACCATGAACGTCAGCATGCTTAAATGGTTCTCTGCATGGTGAAATGGTTCTTCAGATTGATGGAGAATGTGTTGTACAAGGTTCTGTATGGATCCTTTTTAAAACTTCTATATAGCTCCAAAAATTGGAGCTTGTAACAATAGAAAAACCCTATTTGGTTCTAGACCTGTCCAGGGTGTGTCCTGCCTTCCGCCCGATGACAGCTGGGATAGGCTCCAGCACCCCACCGCGACCCAGAAGGATAAGCGGTTTAGATGATGTATGTATGTATTTGGTTCTATATAGAACCATACACCAATCTAAAGAACCATTTCTCCATGCATAGAACCATTTAAGCATGCAAAGCTTCTATATAGAACCATTGGGCCTCCTTCATTAATACCTCCCTGAGTTTGTTCTTAAGTGTGTTCTTGATAAAGGTCCTAAGAAAAAGTCTCCGTCAGATTCATGTCATGTTCTTACAGCGCAGAACTGTTCTCACCTTTGAGCTCTTGAGTGTGTAGATTCTGTTCTTACCTCAGAACAAATCCCAGATAAGAGAACATTGGTGACTCAGAGTCTTCGTGAAAACTGCATAAGTGGGTTTAAGAAGAAACTTCTTCTTATGAACGGTTGGAGAATGAGGGCCGTTGTCTTTATTAAAGAACCCTTAAAGATCCATCCATACGTTTAAGAGTAGGGAGAGAGAACCGAAAACAGACTCAGTGTATATTAGAACAAAGTACAGCGCTGAGTCTGTTTTCGGTTCTCTCTGTGATTCAGTATTGGTGTGTTTTACCAAAAGCTTATATCTGTTTTTAATCTGATCCACTTCTTTTAATCTGATATTGCTCTGAGGTCCTTCTCAAGCAAGTTCCTCTTCTTCTGCTCCGGCAGCTGCTCTTCATCGTACAACCAGTTCCGGTGGTATTTCTGGGGGTGTGGTTATGAGTCACGAGTGAGACAGAGGTGTTGGGAAAAAACACCTGTAATCTTCGTTATCAGAGAGCAAATACAGACCAGACGTCTGAGAGCACGTTGAAAATCTGAGATTGTTTTGGTTCAAACCTGGAAATAAACGACGTTTTAGAACTGTGAGAAATTTAAAGGAAAGAAACGAAGAAGAAATATTTAAGATTCTGCTCTGTTTCTGTCTCACTGCTCAGACTGAAGCAGGTGTGTGGAGCTGATCATGTTGAGCTGTTTGTACTAAAAGCTCAGAGTGTGTTGTTTAGTCTGATCTCTTCCAGTGAAGCTTGTGTTCAGACTCTCAGCTGGATCTGATCTGCTGATCAGACACTTTCACACTAACCTGTGGAGCCCATGCATCTCGAGTGCTCACTGTCATTAAAGGGGAATTCCGGAGTCATTCAGAGTGGTTTGATGAGAAACGGTTCGTTATAGAGAAACTTACCGACTCAGATGTCTTTACAGTGGTGGTGACAGGAACCAGGGGTCGCCATGACTACAACACAAACATAGACATTTTATTTACTATCCAGAACCACCAGTGAACCTACACGAGTCTTCTGAGTTTATATGGGATGTTGATGATGATAAATTAGTGATAAATCTAAAAATAATAAGTTTTCTTCTATTTTGCCTCACAGCGCCTCCGCCGCGAATGGACTGAAGTAAATTGATTAAAATACATTTTAAGACGAAACCTCACAAAACTAGCATTAAATCAAAGTGTCAGACATCAGGCAGCATAAATCTGACCGTTAATGTAGGAACTTTCTGTGAGGGACCTTTTAGAGGTGGACGTCTGGTTCCTATCACCACCACTGCGAACAGTTCTGACTCGGTAAGTTTCTCTAGAACAGAGCGTTTCACACTAAACCACTCTGAACGACTCTGATTACATCTCAACCATTTAATTATGTAGAATTTTTGAAAAATCGATGAGTTCCCCTTTAAAGCAGAAGGGGGAAACACCACCAAATACTAAGAAATTCTGAAATTCATGTTGTAATGAGACTTTTTGTATTGAGCTTTTCTACACTCTTTTTTGTAAGAGTTCTTCAAGGGTTGTTTAGTAAAGAACACTGCATGATTAGAAGGTTCTTTGAATCGTGAAAGTGTTCTTCAGATTGATGGAGAATGTGCTGTAGATGGTTCTCTATGAAACCTATTTGAAAAGCGTTCTATATAGCACCAAAAAGTGTTCTGCTATAGTTACAAGCTTGACATTGTAACAATACAAGAACCCATTTTGGTGCTATATACATGTGGAACCACGTACGGCATATTCTCCATCAATCTGAAGAACGCATTCACGATGCGAAGTCTATACTGGTAAGATGCTGGTCTATACTTGTTTATGCTGGTTTATTCTGGTCCAAACTTGTCTATGCTGGTATATACTGGTTTATGCTGGTTTATTCTGGTCTAAACTTGTCTGTGCTGGTATATACTGGTTTTGCTGGTTTATTCTGGTCTAAACTTGTTTATGCTTATCTATACTGGTTTTTGCTGGTTTATTCTTGTCTAAACTTGTCTATGCTTATCTATACTGGTTTTTGCTGGTCTAAACTTATCTATAATGCTCTATACTGCTCTATGCCAGTCTATGCAGGTCTAAGTTTGTCTATACTGGTCTATGCTGGTCTATACTTATCTAAGTTTGTCTGTACTGGTCTATGCTGGTCTGTGCTGGTCTAAGCTTGCCTAAGCTTGTCTATACTGGTCTGTGCTGGTCTAGAGTTGTCTATACTGGTCTATGCTGGTGTATACTGGTCTTTGCTGGTCAACACTGATCTAGAGTTGTCTATATTGGTCTATGCTGGTCTTTGCTGGTTGAAGTTTGTCTGTACTGGTCTTTGCTGGTCTGTTTGTCTGTATTGGTCAATGCTAGTTGGCTAGTGCTGGTCTATGTCAGTTTGTGCTGGTTTCTGCTGGTGTAGCTGGTCACCAGGTTGGATCTTGCTGGTTTACCAGCAAACCAGCATCCAAAATACAACACATGCTGATGTTGCTGTTTTTTCTAGCAGGGATTACAGACGTCCTGTGGTAGACTGACATTACCCACCCAGCCCCATAGAAAATGGATCCCGTCCCAGTAGTGCTACACAGTGTCAGAAACCCAGTTATCAAGTGTGCTAATCGGTGGAGTATAAGCCTTCATTACTTGTTAGCCGTTTGCCTCGTAGCTCGAGTGCAGAGGCACAAACTTCAGACACCAAATATGTCTTGTTTGATCGACTTCACTGGAAGTAAAGGGGGATTTGAGGTTTTTCCAAACTGTTCTTTTAAATGACACATCTCTAAAGGCTCTGAATGGATCACCCACAGCACGACAGGTACAACCGGGTTAATGTTAGATTTACGATAAACCTGAAATGAAAGAAAGTCCCTCTGTTTTTCACACTAGTGGGTTAAAGTCGCCCACAGACTTCTGTAGAAACCCACTGCAGTTTCTCACTGACAGTAAAACACATAATAATGGAGCTGTTGGTGTTCCTAATAAGATAATAAACCCACACTCATGGAATATGAAGCTTTAAATGGGTACCATTTTATGGTAAGGAACACATATTAGGGCTTTATTAACACCTTAAAAGCTTATTACTCAGTAACTACAGGGACTTTAGAGCAAACTGACTCAGCTGTAGGTTATAGAAGTATGTACAACCCCATTTCCAAAAAGGTTGGAACACTGTGCAAAACGTAAATAAAAACAGAATGCAATAATATGCAAATCATTTAAATCCTATGTTTAATTGAAAATAGTACAAATACAACATATCAAATGTTGAAACTGAGAAATGTTATTGTGTTTTTTATATGCCCATTTTGAATTTAATCCCAATGCAAGTTAAAACTTTACCAGGCAAAGAAGAAACCATATATAAACAGGATCCAGAAACGCCGCCACCTTCTCTGGGCCTGAGCTCATTGAGGATGGACTGAGGGGAAGTGGAAAAGTGTCCTGTTGTCTGACTAATCAAAGGTTGAAAATCTTTTTGGAAATCATGGACTCTGTGTCCTCCAGGCTAAAGATTATGTGGCTTGTTATCAGTGCACGGTTCAAAAGCCAGTATTCATGATGGTGTAGGGGGGCATTAGTGCACATGGCATGGGTGACGTGCACATCTGTGAAGGCAGCATTAATACTGAATGATATATACATGTTTAGTCAACATATGCTGCCATCCAGACGACGTCTTTTTCAGGGAAGGCCTTGATTATTTCAGCAAGACAATGTCAAACCACGTTCTGCATGTATTACAGCAGCATTGCTCTGTATTAAATGAGTCCAGGTGCTAAACTGACCTGCCTGCAGTCCAGACCTGTCACCACTGATAACATTTGGCACATTATAAAATAAAAAGTACGACAAATGAGCCCCTGAACTGTTGAGCAGCTGAAATCCTGTATCAAACAAGAACAGTAAAACATTTCACTTTCTAAACTACAGCAGTGTCTCCTCAGTTCCCAAATGCTTACAGAGTGTTGTTAAAAGAAGAGGTGATGAAACTCAGTGGTAAACAGGCCCCCGTCCCAACTTTTCTGGAACGTGTTGTTGGCATCAAATTCAAAATGGACAAATATTTTTCAAAAAACAAAAAAACCATCAGTTTCAACATTTGATATGTTGTCTGTGTACTATTTTCAATAAACTATAGAGTTGAAATAATTTGCATATCATTGCACTCAATTTTTATTTTGGAAATGGGGTTATAGTAAAACTTTGGGCCAGCCGGTTCTCTGTTCAATAAAACCCAAACTACACCTTCTAAATGGTTTATTCACTCTGTATTAAGCTTTACTTGTTATAACTGTAGGTCTGTTATGTGAAAATCACTCATAGTTGTGATATTAGCTGTGATAATGGGCAGTTATAATAGATAATGGAGGAGTATTTTGCAGTGACATATCATGACATATTAGTGTGTAATTGGCAGCATTTGCTTCCTGTAGGTTCTAGATAGTGTACAAACTTGACATTGTGACAAAAGCAAAATCCTTTTTGGTGCAATATAGAACAAGAAAGGTTCTATAGAGAACTATACACTCTTAATCCCATAAATGGTCAGGGTCCACCGGCAGGCCCAAAGTCTTATTACACACTTCTGTAATCTAAGAATAGCATTGGAGTCCCTGTAGTTACTGAGTAATAAGACTTAGTATGTAATAAGCCTGGGATTTTAAGGGGTTAAAAAGATGGATCTTCAATGGCTCTATATACAACCATGAACACTCCAAGTGTTCTTTGCATGGTGAAATGGTTTTTCAGGTTGATGGAGAATGGGTTGCATATGGTTCTATAGCACCAAAAAAGGTTCTTCTGTTATTATACCAATCAGGCATAACATTCTGACCTCCTCCTTGTTTCTATGCTCATTGTCCATTTTATCAGACATTTTATTAGACACTCCTACCTTGTCAGTCCACCTTGTAGATGTAAAGTCAGAGACGATAGCTCATCTGCTGCTGCACAGTTTGTGTTGGTCATCCTCTAGTCCTTCATCAGTGGTCACAGGACGCTGCCCACAGGACGCTGCCCACAGGACGCTGCCCACAGGACGCTGTTGGCTGGATATTTTTGGTTGGTGGACTATTCTCAGTCCAGCAGTGACACTGAGGTGTTTAAAAACTCCAGCAGCACTGCTGTGTCTGATCCACTCAGACAAGCACAACACACACTAATGTTAAAAAGTCATGTTTGTGTGTGTGTGTGTGTGTGTGTGTGTTACAGTGAGCAGGTCCTGGAGGACATCTATGATCCTGTATATGGTGATGTTGAAGGAGGAGAGATTTATGAGGATTTGATGAGGACAGAGGCTGCAGCTCAGACGGTAAACACTGATCACTGATTAAACTCCCACAGTTCCACTCAAACCTGCGGGATTTCCTTTAACACTGTACACTCCTGGTCAAAATCCATGTATTTTCATTGCTGTGATTCTGATTCTGAATCTTTTTTTTAAATACATTGACTAGACATCGATTTAACTGCCATATAATCACACCAGCAGAACTGAATGATCAAGTGATGGTGAAACACAATGCGGTGAATCATTTCCTAAAGGATCATAATAAAATCAAATGGTTCTACGATTCATCAGAGCTGTATTAAAAACCCTCTGGAATAATAAGCGATGATCGTTCGGCGTCTGTGTTTGTGTATCAGCAGAAACAGGCTGAAGTGGACGTTCGGAGCTGCTGTCTGTCCGAGATTAAACAGACAGAGGAGAAGTACACAGAGACTCTGGAGTCCATAGAGAAAGTGAGACTAAACCTTTATTTCATATTTATTCATAAACAGTGAACATCAGCCTCACTTTTAAACTGTCTGTAATACAAATGATCACGTTTTCTTTGTTGGTTTGCAAACACTGACCATATTAGTGTCTCCTGGACTGGCTGGCTGCTGCACTGTCATTAGCTTAGCAGCAGTTTAGTGTCAGTTTAACACAGATTCACTTAAACCAGATTGCTCTGTCAAAACAAGCATGAGTCTCACTCAGGGGTCGGCAACATGCGGCTCTTTTCCTGCCCTGTTGTGGCTCCACAGCTGAATTAGATTAGTATGTAAAAATAAAATAATCCTCCTTTACAGTAAAATAAAGCTCTGCTGATCGTTCAACACAGTTTAACAGTAAATGGTCTTAAACTCTGGAGTTAATGTAGAACTGCTAATTCACCCTTTAACCCTGAAGATCAGCGCAGACTGCTGGTCACCATAGCAACACAGACAATAATCTCACCTAGCTAGTAGCTAACGAAACAGCAAAGAGAGAGATTTAAGATGAACATCGATAATTTGGAGATGAATGGACTTATTTGTGTTTATAATCACTCCAGTTGGTTTCCTGATACGTTTAATCTGCAATGAGAAACTGAAACACTAAAAAGTCACAAGGTTAAAGTCAATTTGCCAGCTTTTCATTCAAATTTTCCCGTTCCACCTTAAAAAGTGCTGCAGTTACATTCTGGCGCCTCAGGCACCGTTTAAGGTGGAACTGAAGCTGGTGAATAAGAAGCAACTTCAGCCTTGTAAAAAGTCGAACATTGGGAGACATTTTACAAGAAACTGTTCTACTTTTGAGGTAACGTTTCCTGCTGGAGATGCGAGAAAAGCAGCTATAGCTGAGCGAAAGCTTAAAGCAGAGCAAATTAAGTCTGCGTTTTCATTTATATTATATTTTTAGTCCATACTAGTAGATTAACATATACTGAGACAGATTTACAGCCAAGATGGTGAAATTGACATAAATTGTTGTGGCTTGCAAGGCGGTTTGATTTTTATTGAAAGGACAGAATGGCTCTTCTTAACATTTGGGTTGCGACCCCTGGTATAACTGTTCCTCCTCTAAACCTCCAGTGAACCGGACGTGCTGTCAGGTTACGTCATGATCAGCCCAAACTAAAACAAAACACTGCATAACAAGGACATATTTTGTTATATGAAAGCTTTCAGATGTCGTTCTATATATTATATTAACATTTCAACAGAAGCTGCACACAAAAAACTCAGAAATTCCACCTGATATATTTAAATAAAACATTCATTCAAAAACATTTTGAAAAGGCCTAATCAAGACTGCAGCCATTAACACTTTCTAGCTGATTACGCACCTTAATGTGTTTAATTATGCAATATAGCATTTAGTTATGCACAGTATTATATGCCTAAAACGTCTGAGCCTCAGATGTGCTTCAGTTACAATAATTTGGCCTTAAACCTCAGTTAAACCTGAGATACAGCGACATCTAGTGGCAGATGTGTGATTTTTAAATGACACAGTAATGGGGTTTAGTTTAAACTGCAGCTGTGCTTTAAACTGGAGCTTCTGAGGACACAGCAGCTGAGTTTAAGAGCCTGATTGACTCATTCAGGTTTAAACTCGGGCTAAACCTCAGCCAAGCTAATGACAGTGCAATGGCCTCAGCAGGTTTATTTATAGCAAATTATCTCATACATGTAAATACATGTGCTAGCTTGGGAATAAAGCCAAAGGCCACGCCCACTTTATACCTTCTTGTGATGTCACTCATCAGCACTCAAACCTACCTTTGGGCCAAAAGAGCTTCAATAGAACAGTGTTCAGACTGCAGACAAATCAGATTTGTTTCTCAAATCTGGGGCCGGATTCAAGAAAGTGTCTTTTCAACTCCTTGGGACCACCGGTGGTTCCAACACGCACCTCGTCTTATTCTTCATAACTTTCATATTTCATAAGCTACATTCTAAAGGTGGGGGTCGTATGAGGCTGTAACTGTCTTCTTTCCAGTCAAATAGATGGGTGATGTCATTTTAAACCCTTATAATAAAAGACTGAACTCACAATTTTCTTTTCTACTGAAAGTCGACCCATTTTTCCACAAATCTGGGCTATAAATTATAAACAGATGGCGTCTCTTCAGTGATCTGCTCTGTAAACATTACTTTTATAAAATAATACAAAGAGCGTCTAAGATTTTTGGCTTTCAGCAGTAAATTGTAAGCATATAGCAATATGTGTAGATCATAAAACACATGTTCTGTTAATTTGAGGGGAGCTTGTACAAAAATAATTAAATAAATAAAATAATTTACATTTATTTCATGCAGTTACTGAATAATTTGGCTTACGATTTGGTCATGTAAATTCAGAAGGACAAACCAAAATATACCCTGGTCATTCCTGAGAAAAAAGTTACGAGAAATTGTTCTTCTTCAAAAAACTTCTTAAGAATTATTTTCTTTTCTTAACTTAAGAATATTTATTAGAATGAGTGTTATTCTTGAAAATATAATGTTCTTAAATGTTTCTTAACCTTCCGTCAGACTCGCACTCGTCTCAGGCTGTAAGGGTCGATGAGGTCAGCATCTAAATTTATCTCAGACGCTTCCTCTGCTGCTCCTCATCCCACAGTTATCGTATTCTCTAAGGAGGATGTTGTTCCTGTTGGCTGTTTCTTCCCCATCACCTCAAAATCTTGTTGGCTAAACGCTTGTTTTGATGTTTTTCCTCCATTTTGCTCCTCTGAGTGGATTAAACTAAATAACAGAAATAACAGTTAATACACATTCAAAATGGTAAAATGCAACAGGGCCAAGTAGAAAACTTAAGAAAAAGTGAGATTTCTTAAGAAAATCTTAAGGAAATAATTATCTTAAGAGAATATTTGAGAACTTCATAAGTGTTTTTTTCGAGAATTGCATTTAAGAGCATTCTTATGAACTTCTTAGTGTTTGTCTTAAAAACCTTCGCAAGTTTTTTCTTAAGAAAACTTTCATGAATCCGGCCCCTGATCTTTTGAGTCGACTGTCCGCTCTGTTATTTACAAGTGATCAGATCAGATTTGTGTTTCCAGACATCACCAGTCTATCTACTTGGGTTGCCGTGGTAACGACGTAGGCGTCAGTAACTATCCGCTGGTGATGCAGATTTCAGTTGCAGATGCAGGAGAGATGGAGGAGCATCATCTCCCCTCCAAACTCTTCAGAACTCTTTCCATAATCATGAATCTCTGGAGCTCTTCTTGAATCCCAGCACTTCATCACTCTGGATCGTCGCTGTTTGTCGTGTTGCGAGTGACAAAAAAGACACTTTGAAATCCGATCTGAGCGTCCAGAGCGTCCAGACTGCGACGCATCTGTAAACATCGGACTGGAGTCGCATTTCAAACCACCTCCAAATGTGGTTTGGATCTTGCAATAATCAGATTTGATGAGTTTTTTTGCTTTCCAGACCATCAAAAATCAACCTGGATACAATCTGGAAATGCCAGAAATCAGATTTGGGCTGTCAGTCTGATCACGGCCTATAGGCTTTTAACAATAGTTCGGAAAAGAGAACGGTCAAATCAGTATTTTAGACAAAACCTGCTCCACACACCAAGAAGATCCTTGGGTGGACATATAAATATTCACAAAGCAACAGCACAGAAACTAATTTATGATAAACTAAAGTATAATAATAATAATAATAATAATAATAATAATAATTTTTATTTATATAGCACTTTTCAGGCTGGTGGCAGCTCAAAGTGCTTTACAGACAGGATAAAAAGCTCAACAGTGATACAAGAAATTATTATTATTATATTATTAGGTATTAATTTAGTATCATAGAAGAAAATGACAGTATTTTTTTGTACTTCAAAGAAAAGAACCAGCGGCTAAATTCAAATATACAAACACATTCCTAAACACTTTAAATCCTGCGTTTGTGCTGTGATCTTTCCTCTTTTTCTCAGTACTTCCTGATCCCTCTGAGGAAGTTCATGACCACAGCTGAGATCGACAAAGTGTTCCTCAACATACCAGTGAGTGGAACCTTCACTGCCCCAGATATTTCATATCTGTGTGTTTATGGTTGATGTAATCTGAAGTCTCCCTCTGCAGGATCTGGTGAAAGCGCACCAGAGCCTCATGGCTGACATTAAGGAGTCCATCCAGAATAAGAACGCGTCAAACCTCCACCAGATCTTCACCAACTATAAGGACAGGTACGTCTTACCTTCATACGTAAGTAAGAAAAACATATTCAAACAGCGCTTTTCAAAAACATACACAGCATAAAAAGTACATAAAGCACAAATACATAATAAAAACACACTACACAATAAATACATACAATGCAGAGCTGGGGCCGGATTCACAAAAGTGTCTTAAGAAAGAAAATCTTCCTAAATGTGCGTTTTTTTCTTAACTTTATTCTTAAGAAACGAGTTAAGTTAAAAAAGTAAGAAGTTATTTGAGGAATAACAATTTTGTAACTGGTGTTATTCTTGAAAATATTATGTTCTTAAATGTTTTAACCTCACACTCGTGTCAGGCTGTGAGAGTCGACGAGGTGAGCCTCTAAATTCATCGATTTATGTTTCTCCTGTCCGTCCTCATCTCTTGGTTTCTGCCGTGACCCCACAATTATTGTGTGTTCCAGGGAGGGTTTTGGTTTCTTCCTCCATAACCTCTAGATCAGGGGTGCACAACTGTGTCCGGCACAGTTTGGTGATTTACCTACCAAGACACACCTGATTGCATTTATCTGTTAATTGGCAGGTTTACTGGGTGTGTTTGAGTAGGGAAACCTCCAAACTGTGCTGGACACCGGCCCTCCAGGACCGGAGATGTGCACCCCTGCTCTAGATCTTGTTTGCTAATTTTTTTTAAACACTTGGTTTGATGTATTTCCTCCTTTTTGCTCCTCAGCAGATTAAATAATGGAAATAACACTGAATACAAATGAAAAATGTGTCTCACATCGTTTAAGGAAATCTTAAGAAAATAATTAAGATTATCTTAAGAGAATGTGAGAAGTGTTTGTTTTGAGAATTGCCTTTCAGAGCGTTCCTATGGACATCTGGCTCCTGGTGCGTACAGATTACCCCAATACCTAAAAAGCTGCCTTTTTAAAGAATCCACACAATCAGCAGACCTTAAATGTTCCATAGTTTAGGTCCTGCCATTACATAGACTTCCATTCATTTCCTGGGGATTTACTCAAACCTTAACCAGAACTACTACTGGCCTCACCCTCACCCTAACCCTAACCCTAATCCCAAACCTAACCCTAACCTTCAAATTAGTGATTTACATTGCGGGGACCAGTTTAGAAGAAAGATCCCCACAACGTGAGTGTACGAACAGGTTTTGGTCCCCACAAGGTGGCATTGACTTGGTCCACACACACACACACACACACACACACACACACACACACACACACACACACAATTTTCTTTCTTTCTTCTTCAGGTTTTCTATTTTAAACATTGTGGAAAAATAAAAATGCAGTTTTAAAATAACACTTACGGCTCATTTAGTGTGATTTGAACTGAAAGGGTCAGTTTGACCCAGAACAAAAAGAGATGTTTTGTTTGTATTAATCAACATAATGACAGAAAATATGTCAAAAATGTTGAAAAGTCTAAATAAGAATGAATAAAACAAATGTGTTGAATGTCTAGCTTTTGCCAATATACAGAAAAAAACAGTTTGAAAATGAGTTTTTAATGAAAAACGAGTGAATTATTATGAGTAAACCATGATCTGTAATGGGTGAAAAATTTATTACACTAAATATTATGGCCAAACATGCATCGGGTCAGTTTGACCCGGGAACATTTAACAGGAGGGCTAAAGTGGATCCTGAACGCAACAGACAGCCAGTGAAGAGATTCAGCCAGTGAGTCGTCTTGCAGCAGCGTTAGTAAATGAAGAGAATAAAGCACTACAGCAGTCAATAGAGATGAAATGAAGGTGTGTGTTAGCATGTCTAGCTCTGCATTTGGAGCTACAGATCTCAGTTTACTAATATTTCTTAAGTGGTACAAACAAGATCTCGTCAGCTGCTTAAAATGAGCGTCGAATGGCGAGGACTGATCAGATATGACCCCTAAGTTATGCAGGCTGGACTGGGCAGCAGAGAAAAGAGGCCCAATACTTGCAATGCTTGATCTGGAGCAGCAATCAGAACCTCTATCTTATCAGCACTGAGCTGTAAGAAACGCTCCACCGTTTAGTCTCTGATAGCATTTAGACAGTCTAGAAACCTGGATAACCTATGAGCCTAGAGATATCATCTGCAAATGAATAATATGCAATATTAAGCCTGTTTATAATCTGATAAATGCAGATAAACCTTGTTCAAGTATATGTAGAACTTAAGTACGTTTCTAATGTAATTATAAGACAAAAACAAATACAAACGTGCAATATAGTGCAAAAGTGCAGTATAATGCAGACATATATGATATAAAATACAATTAGGAATCCACTGTTGTATATTCAGCACTGCAGTAACACTGACGTGGTGGTGGTGTGTTAGTGTGTGTTGTGCTGGTCTGAGTGGATCAGACACAGCAGTGCTGCTGGAGTATTTAAACACTTCAGTGTCACTGCTGGACTGAGAATAGTCCAGCAACCAAAAATATCCAGCCAACAGCGTCCAGTGACCACTGATGAAGGACTAGAGGATGACCAACACAAACGGTGCAGCAGCAGATGAGCTATCGTCTCTGACTTTACATCTACAGGGTGGACCGACAAGGTAGGAGTGTCTAATAGAGTGGACAGTGAGTGGACACAGTGTTTAAAAACTCCAGCAGCACTGCTGTGTCTGATCCACTCGCACCAGCACAACACACACTAACACACCACCACCATGTCAGTGTTACTGCAGTGCTGAGAATGATCCACCACCCAAATAGTACCTGCTCTGTGAGGGTCCATGGGGGTCCTGACCACTGAAGAACAGGGTAAAAGGGGGCTAACAAAGTATCAGAGAAACAGATGGACTACAGTCTGTAACTGTAGAACTACAAAGTGCACCTATATAGTAAGTGGAGCTGATAAAATGGACAATGAGTGTAGAAACAAGGAGGTGGTCAGAATGTTATGCCTGATCGGTGTATGTGTGATATTGTATAAGCCGTCATTTGTGCCTACACATCCATTACTTCAGTGTTTGTATTGTATGCAATGCGAAAAATAGTATCTTGTCAAGTGAAATGATCTTAAATTTAGTTGATATGTCTAAGTTTCCCATTTTGAGATGGCTGTGCACTGATTCTAAGATTATTTGGCTTATTTCCAGACAGTTTTTACTTGTAACTAAGCTCATTTCTTAAACCAAGCAAAATAATCTGCCAGTATAGTGAGATTTTTACTTAATAAAATCACTTAAAACAAGTAGAAATGTCTAGAAATAAGATAAACAATCTCAACAGGAGAAATATTAGATGTATTGACTAGATTTAAGACAATTTTACTTTAAAATATACCATTTTTTGCAGTGTGTATATTTTCTAAAATGATTTAGAGTTGTGCTGTTTTGTGTTTTGCTCTAGGCTACTGATTTATGGAATCTACTGCAGTCAGGTGGAAACAGCCATCGCTATGCTTGACTTCCTGTGCAAAGAGAAACAGGATATTCGGCTGAAGTTAGAGGTAAAGTACAATTACAAAACCCAACCAGACCTGACAAACTCAGTTTATATCACAATACCTACATTTAGAGTCAGTTATTCATTCAACCTAATGAGAAACTGTAGAACAGACTCAGTTTATATCACAATACCTACATTTAGAGTCAGTTATTCATTCAGCCTAATGAGAAACTGTAGAACAGACTCAGTTTATATCACAATACCTACATTTAGAGTCAGTTATTCGTTCAGCCTAATGAGAAACTGTAGAACAGACTCAGTTTATATCACAATACCTACATTTAGAGTCGGTTATTCGTTCAGCCTAATGAGAAACTGTAGAACAGACTCAGTTTATATCACAATACCTACCTTTAGAGTCGGTTATTCATTCAGCCTAATGAGAAACTGTAGAACAGACTCAGTTTATATCACAATACCTACATTTAGAGTCAGTTATTCATTCAGCCTAATGAGAATGACCTAATTCGTGTCGGAATCTTTCTGAGTGCGGTTCTGTGTGTGTTCTAGGAATGTTCTAAAAGGGCTAATAACGGAAAGTTCACCCTGAGAGACCTGCTGGTGGTTCCTATGCAGCGAGTGCTGAAATACCCTCTGTTACTGCAGGTAGGAACACATTTATACACAGAACTGTGCAAAATAGACCCTTCATTCATTTAACTTCCAGTCAAAATGACCGTACGTGAGATATTTCACAGAAGGTTAGATATACGATAATACGCCTGCATAAAGAAGGAGAATAACACCCAAACTGGAAAAAACTGATTAAAAGCTACAGAGAAAATGTGGCTTCTAACAACCACCTGGAAGACCTGGTCGACACCAACACTGCCCCCATCAGATAAACAGCACTTAAAGCTTTCATCTCTGAGAGAGAGGAGAAAATCAAGCTGCTTCAGATCTGAAAACATCCACAGGTGTTTCTGTCCATCCTTCCACTGTGAGAAGACGACTCAGCGCTGTGGGTCTGAAAGGATGTGTAGCTGATCAAGAAGAACCTCACTGAGAAAAGGAGACGGACACATCAAACAAAGAAGCTGAACGATGGACTGACCACCCCAGAGTCCAGACCTCAACACCACTGAATGTGTTTGATTACTTCAGAAAATGATCAACCAGCTTCTACGACTGAACTTTGGAGGTGTGTCTGCAGATTCTTTGAGGAACTGAAAGTGAGTCTCCTGAAAAGAATGGAAGCTGGAATAAAGGTGAAGAGTGATGCACTGACTTGTACTGAATGGCTGTTTTGAGTGGAAATTAAGTAAATGATGGGGGTCTCTAACTTTTAAACAGTACCCATGAAGTGTTCTACAATGTTTTTTAATTCCAGTATGTGGTAAACACTGTCGGTGGGTTTATTTCCCGAATTAAAGGGACTTGTGATGAAGCAGGTAACAGCATGGACTGTCGTTCCACTAGTCACCACCAGATGGCGACAAAGTCTGTATATTCTATAACTGTGGTTTTACTGCGGAAGCATTTTTCATTTGTAATCAGCTGTACTTTTTCTGTTCAAGAGAAAACAAATCATTAGGATAAATTATCTAGGAATTACCCAGTGGTGCAGGGTGATAATGGATGGAATAGCATTTACCTTTAATCATGCAGTTCATGTTGCTTCTTTTAATCATTTGTATTTATTCCTTTCAAAGAAAAGCAGATTATCAGGCTGAATCATACAGAGTTACAGTGTTAGTGGCTTCACCTTTAATCACGCAGTTCAGCGTAACTGCAGACAGATGTTATAAGAGACTAACACTGGGGCAGATGCTGAGTGGAATGATGGAGGGCAGATGCCCAAAATTCCCCAGAAGGACAGAATGTTCATGCTTTTCTCTTCTTGGAACCCACAAAGAGATAAACACAAACACAAACACATACACACACAGAGTCTCATCGCATCACCCATTTAAGTGTCTTTGTCTTGGTTGCCGACTCTGACAGGCATTATCATCAACTTTATTTTCACTGGCTTTGTTCAGTTCTCAAAGACTTGGCAACCTGGAGTACTGAAGATGTGTATAAACGCAGAATTATGGAATATTGTAGTGTGTTTCCAATAATGTGGACAGTTAGTGGAAGTACAAGGTACTTGTTTCTAATAAAGTGTCCAGTTAGTGGAAGCACAAGGTGGATGTTTCCAATAAAGTGGCCAGTTAGTAGAAGCATAAGTTTAGTGTTTCTAATAAAGTGGCCAGTTAGTAAAAGCACAAGGTGGGTGTTTCTAATGAAGTGGCCAGTTAGTAAAAGCACAAGGTGGATGTTTCTAATAAAGTGTCCAGTTAGTGGAAGCGCAAGGTGGGTGTTTATAATAAAGTGGCCAGTTAGTGGAAGCACAAAGTGGGTGTTTCCAATAAAGTGGCCAGTGAGTGGAAGCACAAGGTGGATGTTTCTAATAAAGTGTCCAGTTAGCGGAAGCACAAGGTGGGTGTTTCCAATAAAGTGGCCAGTTAGTGGAAGCACAAGATGGGTGTTTCTAATAAAGTGTCCAGTTAGTGGAAGCACAAGGTGGATGTTTCTAATAAAGTGGCCAGTTAGTGGAGACGCAAGGTGGGTGTTTCTAATCAAGTGGCCAGTTAGTAAAAGCACAAAGTGGGTGTTTCTAATAAAGTGGCCAGTTAGTGGAAGCACAAGGTGGATGTTTCTAATCAAGTGGCCAGTTAGTGGAGACGCAAGGTGGGTGTTTCTAATCAAGTGGCCAGTTAGTAAAAGCACAAAGTGGGTGTTTCTAATAAAGTGGCCAGTTAGTGGAAGCACAAGGTTGGTGTTTCTAATAAAGTGGCCAGTGAGTGGAAGCACAAGGTGGATGTTTCTAATAAAGTGGCCAGTTAGTGGAGACGCAAGGTGGGTGTTTCTAATCAAGTGGCCAGTTAGTAAAAGCACAAAGTGGGTGTTTCTAATAAAGTGGCCAGTTAGTGGAAGCACAAGGTGGATGTTTCTAATCAAGTGGCCAGTTAGTGGAGACGCAAGGTGGGTGTTTCTAATCAAGTGGCCAGTTAGTAAAAGCACAAAGTGGGTGTTTCTAATAAAGTGGCCAGTTAGTGGAAGCACAAGGTAGGTGTTTCCAATAAAGTGGTCAGTTAGTGGAAGCACAAGGTGGGTGTTTCTAAAAAGTGGCCAGTTAGTGGAAGCGCAAGGTGGGTCTCCACCATCTGAATTCAAGCTGGAGAGCCGCAGTGACATTTATGGTGATCTAGCAGTCAGAAATACAGACATGAGTGAGAAAAAGGCTGGAAATGGTGTGTTTACTGGCTATTTGCCAAGGACAAACCCCTAAATCTCACACATCCTTATGTCACGTTATTTGGTGACAGGCAATCTCCTTTAGCTCCTGTTTTGCATTGCTGCTGCAATCCATCATCAACAAGGGCACACAGTGGGCCACATGCACAAATATACAAGCTGCATGCAGCACATTCAATTATTCCACCAGTTGAGATCAGCAGCTGGTATTTGTTGTGTATCATATCACTCTGGCTATTTATCACACATCTGTAAAGCGTTGTAGCATTGAAGTGGGGGTGCTTAGAGCACGGTAAAGACGATGTGCTTGTTTTATAGTGAAGTTTGTATTTTTAATTTATGTATTACTTTGATGTTTCCAGTGCAAAAGTCGTGCACAGTTTAGCTAAACTAAGTAAAAGGTAAACTACTGTAATTATGACGCTTTTTCTCAGCGTGTGACTGTAGGCGACACTATTGGTTGCAGCGCCGAATACAAACGATCTGATTGGCCGCCACGCAGTTCCAGAGGAAGAGCGTCCACACTGAGTAGGGTGATCAGTTATACATGTGTCTGGTTACCTGGTTACCAGCAAATAAGCAAAATAAGAGTCCACCCTGTCTTTTATCTTGTTGCCCCTGATTAATTGATTGAAATAACTAAAAATGATTATATGTTATGTTATCAGTGTTTTGATTGGCTGTTTTCTGAAATTTAATGCAAGCAATGCCAAATCAGAATGTTCGTAAACATAACGGTTGGGTCACTTGCATCAAAACAGCATTGATGCAGCACAATTTACAATAAATTCAAACATAACCGACAAAACATTGACAAGCTGTCAAATCGTGCTGTGTTTGAGGCTGTAATGTCGAATGTACCCAAAAATGTCAGAGATTTTAATTGAGTTTTTTGAGTTTTTCCTGTTTTCCAGCTTTCTAAAGCAGGTAGAGCTGCTAAGCAGTATTAATCTCACTGAAGGTCCTCTGTGATTGACACGAGCAGCCAAACAATAGCTAATGACAATTCAGTGAGTTCTTTACTCTTCCAGCTGAACATAAAGTCACCGAACACTGAATATGTTTACATGCATTTAATAATCCAATAACTGCAGAAAATCGGATTTTGTCAGTAATCCAACCAACACCTTTATATGCACTTGAGTAATCAGATAATGGGGAAAAATAAGTCAGACAGTAGAGAGGATTTCTGCTTTGCAGCCAGCCAATAAACTCACAGACGAAGACACAACGTAAACATCATGTAAAACTCAAACTTCAGACTGCGCCTTTTTTTTCAAACGTTGCTCCACTTCACCTAAAAATATGAAAATACATCATCTAGAAGATGAATATTTAAATCCTTCATTCACGTGTGGCTGCAGGCTTATTTCTGGTTCCACTGTCTGTTTTCACACATGCTCAGACTGAGAAAGAAATCAGAGTAAGAGTTTACATGCACTGAGAAATCTGATTACTGAGCTAAAATCCAGCCTCTTTATCAGATTTCCAAATCGGAGTATGCTGTTTACACGACCATTTGAATAATCAGATAACTGCAGAAATCTGATTATGATTGGATTATTGAGTGCATGTAAACACACTCACTATTACATCAACAATAAAAGCTCCAGAATGTAATCTAGGATGGTATGCTGGGTGTTTTATTGGCTGTTTTTAAAATTGTTATTATATGGAGCTCGATATAAGCTAAAAGAAGCCAACGCTATTAGCAGTTATGCTAGCGGCCACAGAACGAGTGTTTTTGCTCATATTTTCACAATCAATAGAGAAAAAAATGAGCTTTGCTTGAATTTATACATGGGTCTGTGTAAATGTCTATAGAGTAGAATAGAGTTAGAATAGAGTTGAGTGAGTGCGCAGAACAGTGCAGTGCATCATTTCATATCAGCTAACTGGCAAGCAAGGTAGCTAATTAGCCTAGATGTGTAAGAGTAACCAAAAAAACCCTGTTAAATCATTAATCATAGTTATTATAAATGATTCTAGCTGTGTATTGAGCAGGTGGGAAATGAACTAGTATTAGAAGTAAAACCGTAAGTTCAGTTGGTTCCTGTTTGCGTCAGCTGTTGATTTTGAAAGTGCAGTAAAAACACCTTTTTAAAGCAAATCGCTGTTGTCGGAAGAAAACCCAAAATGGTAACTTTACAGGAGAAGGAAAAAACCTACACTGCTTTTAATGTAAGTCAATGGAACCAGAATTATTACCAAGTCATTTTGGGTCGTTTCTTTTCGTCCATTCATCATGAAATTTACAACCAATGTAAAGGGCTACAGGCGTTTTCAAATTATGTCAAAAACTGAAAATGACAAAAATTGAGTTTTCTTCTGACAGCAGCGAAACACTTCTTCATTAAACCTTGCAGTGAAATGCGTAGCCGGTGGAAGTTCATAACTATATGATAAAACCATTAACCACACAAATTTGTGAAGTTATTGACCCAAGAAGACCAGTTTAAAAAGCTTTGGTTGTCCAATATCTTGGTTAAATAAATCTGATTTGTCCTATTTGGCTTTGTTTGATTTTGCCCCACAACTGATAGAATTAAACCTGCATAGATAGACGTTAAACAGGGTGGCACAACAGACGGTTCTAATTATGGATTTGGATGCTAAAGTGTGTTAGCAGATAGAAGCTAACCCACGTTTCAGCTCATAATGTGAGCTGGTTAGTTTTTATGACAGTTCTGTTGAAGGATTTCAGTGAAATTGCGGAAAATTCCTGTTTCTGATCAGCATTTTCAGCTTTTACTCTGAACTGATTGCTCTGCGAGGAAACTTGGCCTGTCATTCACTCGTCATTCCTGTCACTCCATTTTGACGGCCTTCGTTGCTCCCATCTGTCTTTCCACAAACCTCCCTCTGCTGATGCTCCTCTGAGGTTTGACAGCAGTGTGGTGCTCCTTTGTTATGCCGTTTAAAAGCCTTGGAAAAAGATAAATGAGCAGTCGTGTCTTAAAGCGATAGTTTGACCAAAAATCAAATTTATCCCCCACAACACACCAAATGCAGTTGATCAGCCGAGATGTGTTTGTTGTCTTTAGTTTTAGCACTGGAGGCTAATGTAACTAAGAAGTAATGGAAGCTTATAGACCACAAATTAGCATGGTGCTAACCGCATGTCTACATCATCTCACTCTAGGGCTGGACAGGTAGCAGAAGGCTAGCTGGCTAACAGGCTAATGCTCCAATAATAGAAGACAGACTTCAAGTTTAAGCCTTTAAATAAAGCATCTGTTTTTAAGCAGCATTACTTAAAAACAGAGACATACAAAGTAAAGAATATTGTTAAGATGCCAGTTTAGAGCTACAAATGTCCGTATTTAAACTAGAGCTGACATGAAAATCCCAAATAGCGCTGAGGTAACCCTGCTAGCTTGACTCTAACATAGCTAGCTAGCTACCATAATGAAGACACAAGAAGCATTATTGAAAAAACAGTATCTACATCAGCCACTGCTGTGAAAGGGAATACTTTATGGTTCACTGTCTGTGTCTGACTCTCAGTGTAAACTTAATTAAAAACTTAAAATGTATTGACTTAATTAGCGTGAATACCCAGAGAGCAAGCACATATTGGTCCGCTGGCTTGATAAGGTGGGCACCCCGCTGACTGTTTGCCAATGCTGGTCCACCCTCGGACCACCCAGATTACTGTCCTGCACACAAGAACTAACTAGTTTTTAATGTCCTCAAACTGATTTTAAATGACTTTAATTTTAGAAAATAAACAAGACACATTACAAATAACTGAGGGAAAACATGACTAAGCCTCAAATAAAATGATTTTATAGAAATGTTGCTGACACGGTGCGATATTAAAATTCTTTACTAAACAAATTTACAAAATATAAATAAAGAAATAAAGAAATGGACTGTGAGTGGAAACTGAGTGATGATTAGTGGAATTTTGTCTGTACTCTGCTTGACCACCAGTGGGCCGCCCAGAAAACGCTGAGCAAAACGCTAGTGGAACGTCAGCTTTGCCATTAGTGGGCAGACAGTGGTCCACTATCCTCCTGCTATCAGGGTAACTGGTGTAATGTTAGGCTGTAAACAGGATCCTCTCATAAAATGTCCCCCGCTGTCGTTGTGGACTGGGTGTGGGGGGGGGTGGTTTGGGTGGCATCACGATGCAATAACATCATGAGGCAAATTTGTGATATTATTTCTAAAATTTTATTCAGAATTAAGAATTAAGGGAATGAATGACGATGATTTAACAATGCAGTTAGCACCATGCTAATTGATACAGTTAGCTGCATTAGCCTCGTAGCTGCAGTGCTAAAATTCAGACACCTAAGTCTTGGCTGATCGACTACTTTTCGGTTGAGAGGAGTAAAAACTGGGTATATTTGATATTTCGCCAAACTATCACTTCAGTATGACTGATCTTTTGTTTATGAACAACCTCTGATGAAAAAGACCGTTAGAGACTAATGGACCCCACCAGGACCCTGATAGCAAGAGGATAGTGGACCACTGTCAGCCCGCTGATGACAAAGCTGGTGGTCCACTTGCATTTTGCTCAGCATTTTCTGGGCGGCCCACCGGTATTTCAACAGAGTCTTAGACAAAATTCCACTTATCGCTCATTTTCTACTCACAGTCCAATTTACTGATTTTTCCCTCCTTCTTTTCTTTAGTTATACTTTGTAAATTAGTTTAGTAAATAATTTTAATCTAGTTCAGCATCAACAACAACATTTTCTATAAAATAATTTTATATCAGGTCTAGTCATTGTTTTTATCTCTCAGTTGTTTGTAATATTTGTCTTAGTTTATTTTCTAAAATAAAAACTATTTAGAGCTTGTGTGCAGGACAGTAATCTGGGTGGTCTGAGGGGGGGACCAGCAGTGGCAAACAGTCAGTGGGGTGCCCACCTTATCAAGCCAGCTTGCTATCTGGGCCATTAGAACCTTTAGGATTAAAACCTGATGGTTTTGCTTTCTAATGGAAATTTGCTTAATGGTCTTCTGCTCTGTACAGGAGTTGGTCAAACACACCCCCGATTCCTCTGAGAAGGACAACTTACGAACAGCCCTGGACGCCATGAGGGTGAGTGAGATGTTTACCTGCAGGTCCAGTTGGCGTTACAAATAGAGACAAGTATGCCTTTACCAGGGGGCGCAACCCAAATGTCCTTTCGACAAAAATCAAACGATCTTGGGCGCCCACATTTTATGTCTATTTTACCATCTTGGCTGTAAATGTATCTCAGTATGTGCTGATGTTTAGCACATGTAGCTCAGCTATAGCTGCTTTTCTCACATCTCCAGCAGGAAACTTTTCCTCAAAAGTAGAACAGTTTCTTGTAAAAACGTCTCTCAACATTCAACTTTTTACAAGGCTGAAGTCGCTTCTCACTCGCCAGCTTCTTGTTCGAATTTTCCAGAATGTAACTGTTGCATCATTTAAGGTTGAATGGGAGAAACTGACTTCAGCTTCACGACTTTTTAGTGATTAAACGTATCAGGAAACCAGCTGGAGTGATTATAAACACTAATAAGTCCATTCCTCTCCAAATTATCAATGTTCATCTTAAATCTCTCTCTTTGCCGCTTCGTTAGCTACTAGCTAGTTGAGATTGTTGTCTGTGTTGCTATGGTGACCAGCAGTCTGCGCTGATCTTCAGGGTTAAAGGGTGAATCAGCAGTTCTACATTAACTCCAGAGTTTAAGACCATTTATTGTTAAACTGTGTTGAACGATCAGCAGAGCTTTATTTTACTGTAAAGGAGGATTATTTTATTTTTACCTACTAATCTGATTCAGCTGTGGAGCCACAACAGGGCAGTAAAAGAGCCGCATGTTGCCGACCCCTGACCTACGTGTATTTGAGCTGATATTTCTAATGCTGATCAGCCTAGTCTGTATATACATCCTTAACTTTCAATGCAATGTGATGCAGAGAGATTTCCAAGTTTTTTATTGGTGTTTTATTTGTGTATTTTCTATTGGTTCAAAGTTAGAGCTGAAACACATCTAGGACCTTTAGCTGAAAATCCTTTTGCTTTGAGTGACCCTATGTTTGACCATACCTATATGTTTATTTTATTGAAACTGGTGATTAAACATTCCATTCGGTCACTACCAAAACAATCATAACTCTACCAAACTTTACCAAATGTGTCAGTAGTGTCTGTTTCAGTAGTGACTGTCTCAGTAGTGACTGTTTCAGTAGTGACTGTTTTGGTGACAATTTTAGCTCATTTTGAGCTCAGAAACTCAGCAGTTCATGACCAGCAAACACAGCTCTGAACAGCTGTTCACACAGAAAATCATCATATTTTACATTAAAACACTAAAAATGCTGAACTGCAGAAAATATGACGATTCTTAATGTTCCACACTGATTTTCAGACTTTGGGACTCATTTACTTCAAAACAATGGGATCTAACTGCTCACCATGTGGCCATGAGGGACAGGGATGCAGCCTCACCTCCTGCTCTGAAAGGCAGGGGCGTGGCTAAAATAAGGCTCCGCCTACAGACTAAAACTCTTTCAGTACTGATGCATTTTTTAACAAAGTTTTTCATTTAAAAATTAAACCACAATAAATCTAAATCTTTCAACCTCACTTTAAAATAAATTAAACAAGATTAAAATAATTGAATTTTTGTTATTTTGTGTAAATTATGTGTAAATTTAGAGGTTAGTGTTTGGGACAGACACCTCCTAAAAGAAAGTACCCTATAATTGATGATTTTGTATATATTTAGCTTATTACTATCTCTGTGAATGCCTTGAGTTTAAGTAGATCAGAACATAATCGTGGTAAATATCTAGGATCTGGATACTTTATAGTTTTTTAAATACGAATTTGGTAATTCAAACCCTTTAAAGATGCCACAGAAGCTTGGTGAAGCTTAGTATGATATATGAAGCTTTTATCTCACTGTTTTTGATCTAATGTGGTGTAACGGTGTAATTAGAGTTCAATAGTGTGAACAGTGTGATGAGTTTCATCATATTACAGACTTAGTGCTCATTTTCAGAGCTCAGATGGGGAAATGTCTCCTCAGCCTTTTTCAGAAAATGAAGTGGCAAAAGCATCAAAAGGCTGAATATTCAATAATATTAACAATTGCATTTTGTATTTAGGTACAATAGTGATATTGACTGATTAACGATGTGTTTTATTCGCTCTCTTTTGCCTCTCTGTGTGCTGAACAGGACTTAGCTCAGTATGTTAATGAAGTAAAGCGGGACAATGAAACTCTGCGTGAGATCGATCAGTACCAGAGATCCATCGAGAATCTGGTGAGTCTGATAACACAATACAATGTTATTTCCAAAGTGTCTTTCAGCTCAAACGCACAAATCTAAGCAGAGCATCTACAGTCTTGGTTAAATGTATTTGCGATAAATTGTTTGTTAATCGTTATTGTGATGTTTGCTTTTACAGTCCTGATATGTCAGAATACTGCAATGCAAATGAGCTCTCTAACCAATCACAGCACCTGAAGAGTTTCTGTGGGTGTTTTTGTGAATGAGTATTTTCATGTAGTCCAACAAAAGGAGGTTATTCTGGTTAGTTTTTTGGGTTCTGAGGTCATTCTCTCTAGATTAGTCCATCTCTTCTTAAACTCTCCTTTAAAGGCTCTTCATATATCATGATCCTCATATGTTTCATATCTAAATGCTCCGTTATCTTCATCACTACTTTCCAAAACCGCTGCAGCAGCTTCAGCAGCTGTAAACTCTCTGCACGCCGTTTCACATCAGTCTCCGATGTGGACTGAATGAAGAATGAAGGGTTTCCGGCATGACGGTCAGTCCTTAGTGATCTCCTGAGTGTCCATTGGTCAGTTTCACACAGAATGTAGACGGACACACGAATCCACCAGCTCCACACGGTGAGAGGCAGATGACGTGTATCTCAGCCCCTCTTCATAGGCTCATAACTCCGGATGTGAGTCTCGTATGATCTCGTGATAAGATGGAATGGAAAGGGCGACTCTACAGATTCAGGAAGTGTTTGAACTGGATTTCTGTGCTGGATCATCACAAAGACTCAGACACAGATATAGAGATATTGCAGGCGAGTTCGTGGACCCCAGTTTTTAATAAAGTGCAAAGTCAATCAGTCACAATATGAAGAAATATTTTCACAATATATGTATTTTCTTCATTTCGTACAGCCTTTCTTTTGGAATCACTCGAAAATATTTTGGTTCTTACACTTTACTGGTTTGATTTACTTGGAAGAAAGTTTGCTTGGTTTAGAACTTAGGAAAGTTTAGCTGGGAAACTTAAAAGAAGCAAAATTAGAGGCCTTGGACACAATAACTGCCACCAAAGCCACATGTATAATTAATAATAAGTAATAATAATGATATCTATTCAAGGCTGTTGATGTTTCTTTCACTGATCTTGAATCTTTCCTCCAGTCCTGCTTCTCTTATTATATGTTCAGCATACAGGTTCAATAAGAATGGCGACAGTGGGCAGCCCTGTCCTGCTCCTTTCCTCATGTAGAACCAGTCTGTAGGTCCATTTTCTGCCCATTTTCTGTGGCTTGTTGATCAGCATAGAGGTTCATATCTTGCATTAATTTGCATATAAACCACATCGTCTCTTCATTAATAATTTGATTTTAGCATATAATGAATGAAAATGCCTCTCTGTGGTTTTGCCAGTATATGAAATGCTCATCAGCCTTCAGCGCATTTATTCCAGGACTTTTTTTCAGTTTTCAATTTTTTTAAGCAAAAAAAAAGCTCGTAAGATGAAACTTTTCTAGAAGCCAATAAATATCGGTGTTGCTCATAAATGTGTGCCCCCCGCAAACAGAATCAGTCCTTGCTGAAATACGGACGGCCGAAGGGTGATGGAGAAGTTCGACTGGCCACAAATGTGGACAAACGCAGGCAGGACAGGTACAGATCTGCACAAACAAACAAAACTCTAATGCCAACACAGACGTCTCTGTAGAACATTTATGTATCTACAAAAACCTTTAAGAAAATATTTCTCCCATTTATTTTCACATTTGTAAATAATAATAATAATAACAATTTTATGATGAGGCTCATAAAAATAATGGTAACAATTCGCTGCTGTCGGAACAAAGCCTCGTATCTCCATTTATGTTTTTGACATAATTTGAAAATACCTGTTGTCCTTTACATTGTATGTAAATTTCATGACGAATGGACCAAAAGAAACGACCCAAAATGACTTGGAAAAAAGTCTGGTTCCATTGACTTACATTAAAAAGTAGGTTTTTTCCTTCTCCTGTAAAGTTACCATTTTGGAGATACAAGGTTTTGTTCCAAAAACAGTGAATTATTATTATTATTATTATTATTATTATTATTATCATTATTATTATTAGTAGTAGTAGTATTAGTAGTAGTAGTAGTAGTAGTAATAGGTATTATGTTTTTATTAATGTGTTTAATATTATTATTATTATTAGTAGTAGTAGTAATAATAATAGTTACTACATCAGTATTTATATATAATAATAATAAGAGAAAGAATAATAAGAATAATAATTAGAACAAGAATTATTATTATTATTATTATTATTATTATTATTGTTATTTTTAGTTGTAGTAGGCACTATGTCATTATTTATGTATTCATTATTATTATTGTTATTATTGTTATTATTATTATTCTTACATCAGTAGTGTTTGGTTTGTTCTCTGCTTGTTTATTCAGTGTCTGATTATAGTTTACATGGTTTATTGCTCCCTAGTCTTTGTGCATGTCCGAATAACTAAACTGTATGAAATAATATTTTGAAATAATGTTTCAAAATGACCTTCATTGACATTACAGGCATATCTTTCTCTTTGATGCGGCCGCGATCGTGTGTAAGCGGCGAGGGGATAACTACGAGATGAAGGACATGATTGACCTGAGCCTGTACAAAATCACCAACAACCCCACCACAGATAAAGACTGCAGGAAGGTCAGTAGGTCACGGCGCTAGACGGGCTCAGGGTGAGTCACACTGAGGGTCACTGTGCTGGTGACTTTAGGAAATTTGAAGTGTTGGATTAAGATGGAGAAGCATGTCATCACTGTCATATTCACACCTCAGAACTTAGAACCATCTGATACCAAATGCTGACTGAGAACCGAGTGACACTCGACTCAAAGCGTGACGTGGTTCCAGTCGGTTCGGACTCAGACAGACAGATATGGGTCTATTTTGGGGTTTAGACTACATTTCAGGCCCAATTAAAGCTCTACTACACTCTTAAAACAGACGGTTCCTTATGGGTTCTGTAGTAAAGTCTAGAACCATAAACATTCAAAGAACTATTTGCATGGTTGAATGGTTCTTTGCATGGTGAAATCGTTCTTCAGATTGATGGAGAATGTGTTGTAAATGGTTCTATATAAGGGTTCTTGACAACACCAAAAATGGTTCTGCTATTGTTATGATGTCAAGCTTTTAAGAATAGAAGAACCCTTTTTGGTGCTATATAGAACCATATACAACACATTCTCCATCAATCTGAAGAACAATTTCACCATGCAAATGTTTCTTAGAATGCTTATGGTTCTATATACAATCATTATCTTTAAAGAACCATCTTCACACTTCTATACTCTTAAAAAAGGTGGTTCTTCAAGGGTTCTTTAGTAAAGATGACCCTTGAAAGACCCTTAATGGCACCCAAAAGGGTTTTTCTATTGTTACAATGTCAAGCACACTTTTCGGTGCTATATGGAACCATTTTCAAAAAGGTTCTATTCTATGTAGAACCGTCTACAACACATTCTGTGTCAACCTGATGAAATTTTCATGACGCAAATAACGCTTTAAACATGCACAGGGTTCTTTGAGTGTTCATGGTTCTATATAGAACCAGTATCTTTACCAAAGTACACTTCTATGCGTTTAACATTCTGCCTGAAACTGTTGGTGGCAGTGCTGCGTCACCGCACCCAAATACTGTGAGCTGATTGGCTGAATTTATCGGGTTCTGCTGGAGAACAATGCTGACGTTTGACCGTGTCTGCTGTAAAACGTGAACCTGACAATGAACAATAATAGTGACTAAACGTGTTTAGGGTTCTGAATGTGCTGAGTGAATAACTCACCACAGAATATCATCATAGGAGGCTCATTATAATTAGCCTACGTTTGATCTTACGTGCAGCTGGCACAGCCGCCTCTTTCTCTCTGCCTGTACTCCAGTAAGGCGTTTCTAATAAAGTGGCCACCGAGCGTGTATCTACCACATGAGCATGAATCCCGTTGGACGGGCTTGTGAGCTGATTCTGATCCCACACTGCGGCAGGCAGATGGTGGTGTGCTTGATTAGTGCTGATGGATGATGACAGATACAGCGGCCCAGCGTGTTAGCATGCGCTAAGCTAGACGAGCTGGCAGAGGCAGAGCAGTCACATGTGTGGCCAGACTGACAATGACAACACAAATCTCTGATCATCCAGTGGTCAGAGACAGTAGAGTCTACAGGCCCAGTTCCACAGTTAAATATTTTTCCATATTTTCTAAAGTTTATGTGGTTCTAGGTACCAAAAACAGTTGTAATCCATCTTTTCACAACCACTTTCCAGCTTCTCTTCGTTCCGGGTGATTATTTCACTGTGACTTTAAGACTGATGTCTTATGTGTTACATGCAAATGGAATATGTGTATGTAAATGAGCTCTGTTCTGATTGGTTGTGCCTCGTTCAAAAAGCAGGCCATGGAACAGACTGTTAAGCTGGGACTGAAATCCTCAGGGCCGTAGGGGAAAAACAACTTTCAGATCCTTAGTGGGGTGGATTGTTTCAGCTGCAGTGATCCATTTGCTTCCTGAAGGCCAGGAACAGCACAACGTTTAATCAGCAGAAATCTCCCACTCCAATACCAAACTGCTGTAGGCTGAATGGGTGGGGCTAAACAGCTGTAGGCTGAATGGGTGGGGCTAAACAGCTGTAGGCTGAATGGGTGGGGCTAAACTGCTGAAGGCTGAATGGGTGGAGCTAAACTGCTGTAGGCTGAATGGTGGGGCTAAACAGCTGTAGGCTGAATGGGTGGAGCTAAACTGCTGTAGGCTGAATGGGTGGGGCTAAACTGCTGTAGGCTAAGCGGGTGGGGCTAAACTGCTGTAGGCTGAATAGTGGGGCTAAACAGCTGTAGGCTGAATGGGTGGAGCTAAACTGCTGTAGGCTGAATGGGTGGGGCTAAACTGCTGTAGGCTAAGCGGGTGGGGCTAAACTGCTGTAGGCTGAATGGGTGGGGCTAAACTGCTGTAGGCTAAGCGGGTGGGGCTAAACTGCTGTAGGCTAAGCGGGTGGGGCTAAACTGCTGTAGTCTGAATGGTGGGGCTAAACTGCTTTAGGCTGAATGGGTGGGGCTAAACTGCTGAAGGCTGAATGGGTGGGGCTAAACTGCTGTAGGCTGAATGGACGGGGCTAAACTGTAGGCTGAATGGGTGTGGCTAAACTGCTTTAGGCTGAATGGGAGGGGCTAAACTGCTGTAGGCTGAATGGGCGGGGCTAAACTGCTGTAGGCTGAATGGGCGGGGCTAACTGCTGTAAGATGAATGGGTGGAGATTAGATATAAGATAATCCTCTTGCGTAAGGAAGGAGTAAAGTAAGGAGAATAAGTTACACTCTTCATTCTCTCTGTATGATCTGCGCTCTGTGTTCTCTGATCTGTAGTGCGGTACACGCTTTACTCCCTCCTGCTGTGCGCTGCAGTGAAGATGCAGAAAGCTGTAGACGATCAGAAGCTCCACTTTTGGCCTAGCTGACCTCAGCTGTGACCTTTATACCTTTCTTCTTGTTTTTATACCTTTTTCATTTTGTTCTGTTTGATTCTAAGGGATAAGGTGAGGTTGGAAAGGGGTCATGTAGAAATGAATTACGATGTCAGGGACAAATACAGAAAAAATGTGGACATGGGCTCCTTAAAGACTCTCCAGGTTCATAGGTTCATAAAGAAAGCGCAGTCCGTACTTTTTGATCTTTCAGGATATGTTTGTGAGGAGATTAGATATAAGATAATCCACTTACATAAGGAAGGAGAACATCGAAGGGACTAGAGCTACAGAGAACATGTGACTCCTAACAACCACCTGGAAGACCTGGTAGACAACAAAACTGCCCCCATCAGATAAACAGCACTTAAAGCTTTCATCTCTGAGAGAGAGGAGAAAATCAAGCTGCTTCAGATCTGAAAACATCCACAGGTGTTTCTGTCCATCCTTCCCCTGTGAGAAGACGACTCAGCGCTGTGGGTCTGAAAGGATGTGTAGCTGTCAAGAAGAACCTCACTGAGAAAAGGAGACGGACACATCAAACAAAGAAGCTGAGCAATGGACTGACCACCCCAGAGTCCAGACCTCAACACCACTGAATGTGTTTGATTACTTCAGAAAATGATCAACCAGCTTCTAAGACTGAACTTTGGAGGTGTGTCTGCAGATTCTTTGAGGAGCTGAAAGTGAGTCTCCTGAAAAGATCGGAAGCTGGAATAAAAGCAAAGGGTGGACAAAAATCTGATATTATCTTTAGTTCTTGAGGCGTCTTTGTGATTTTCTGTCTTTAAGTGTTCCTGTTTCTTCTTCTCTGCTCCGTCAGTGGTGCTACGGTTTCTACCTGACCCACCAGCAGGGGGCGAGCGGCTTCGAGTTCTTCTTCAAAACCAAAGAGCTGAAGAAGAAATGGCTGGACCAGTTCCAGATGGCCATGTGAGTTGTGATGTTTACAGTGTTTCCACAGTAGATGTTTCCACAGTAGAACCACTTTTGGTTCTCTAAAGAACCTTTTAGTGAATGGTTATTTATCACTGAACCATTTTTGTAAACAAGTGACTATGAAATCTCTTTTAATGTTCAGAGAACGTCCACAAAATGTTAATTTTAGAAGGATTCAAACATTCATAGTATCATTGTTATTTATATATATTTATATAATAATATAATTTCTTCCCATTTTATTTATTTGTTTCATTATTATTCATATTCTTGTTCTTGTTTCAATGAAGATTATTTTATTACAACCCCATTTCCAAAAAAGTTGGGACGTTGTGCAAAATGTAAATAAAAACAAAATGCATTGATGTGCAAATCATTTAAACTCCATATTTCATTGAAAATAGTGCAAAGACAACATATCAGATGTTGAAACTGGGAAATTTTATTGTTTTTTGAATTATATATGTCCTTTAAGAGTTTCGGGCTATTGCAGTTGTAAGCTCACTGACCAGATGTGGGCTTGATCATACAGACTGATGTCTTGCACATTTTTACTGATCGCATTTTTACTATTACATCTTTGATCATTATGGGCCATTTTACCAAACTTAAGTGCAAATAAGGCTGCAGTCACACTGCAAATGGTGATCAATGACCAAAATCCTGATCTTCCCAAGTTTAACCTTATTAACATTTTGGAAAATATTAGTATAATGATTATTTCCATGTTGACTTTCTGATTATTCAAATTAGCTGTAGCGTTTAAGGTGGAATGGAACATAAATATCGATTTAGCCAGACTATTTTTCAGTGGGATTTCGCGAAGCGCTCCCTCATAACACCCACACGCGGCAGACTGAAGGGTGAGGATGGTTCAGGTCCGTCGACATGCCTGAGAAGTGTAAATGCAGCGTTCGGCAGCTTTGCCAAACTGCACAGTTACTTTGGTGACGCTGAATTTTGTTCATGTTTGTGTCTGTAACTTTCACTCATTTGTACTGAAATGACTCTTCCATTCGCCTAAATGATACGCAGAGCAGCCTGCTGTATGGTTTACATTAGAAGTTTCGATGTGTTTCACACGAGTATCAGAAAGCGCACAGTGGAGGCCTCGTGTGTTTTGGTGTGCTGGGACGCTCTGTTTGTTGTGTGGTTTGAGATTCTGGTTTACTGTACAGGGCGTGAAGTGTGATTAAGAGTAATTGTGCGGTAATGTGGAGCGTTCAGAAAGATAGCGGGGGGCCTAAATGTGCTGCGGTGGGCTCGCTTCGCTGAGATGGGGCTGGTAGCGCTGCTGATAAGAGCCACGCTGGAGGTGTAATGGTGCTGGGATTGAAAAGAGGGGTGGATGTGTAAACACGTGGGTTAAAGAGGGGCCGCCACGCTGAGGGTCCGTAATGACGTTTCCTCTCGGCGTTCTGCAGGGGGCTTTCAGACAACAAATTACACCGCACACTCTCCTGACACAGAAATCAATCTCACAGCCGTTCAGATAAAGAGCTCTCCCACCGCTCCACTTTCGGTCTTTCTGGAAACTTCCATGGAGGAACGTTTGATCTGGAACGTTCTGTCCTCTGAAAGCAGGCACTGCTAGTGCAAATCAGCCCATCAGCCAAGACATGATTGGTGTCTGAAGTTTGCTGTACTTAGTTTTACATTGGGGCTACGAGGCAAGTAATGGAAGCTGTTTTTGACGTTGCCAATTAGCATGGTGCTAACTGCATAGCTAAGGGCCCTTACACACTGAACACGAGCTGAATAAACACAGTAATCAGACTGAGCACTAACAAACAGGCAGACTGTCGCCAGGTTATTTGTCCATAGCCAAAACAATAAACACAGATGAGCCAAAACATTATGACCATAATGCTGTTCCTCCTCCACATGCTGTTGAAACAGCTCTGACCCGCTGTGGCATTGACTCCGCGAGACCTCTGAAGGTGCCCTGTGGTATCTGGTGCCAAGACGTCAGCAGCAGAAACTTTAAAGGGGATTTATATGAATAAATGTTAAGATGTAAACAGAGTCCTTCAGAGTAGTTTGGTGTGAAATGCTAGTTATTACATGAAACGGCTAAGAATATGCAATGCACTGTATTTCAACATTTCTAAGATAAGGTTTTGGTCTGAACTGTATTTTTTAGCAGCAATTCATTGTGTAGAGGTACATGAAGGGCATTTAGGACTATTTTCCCATCATCAACATTCCATATAAACTCAGAAGACTCGTGTAGGTTCACTGGTGGTTCTGGATAGTAAATAAAATGTCTATATTTGTGTTGTAGTCATGGCGACCCCTGGTTCCTATCACCACCACTGTAAAGACATCTGAACCATTTCACACCAAACCACTCTGAATCTCACACAGTGGATTAAGGAGGAAATTTGAGAAATCTGTGGATTTTCCCTTTAAGTCCTGTAAGGTGCAAGGTGGAGAAGCTGCAGCCATTTTATTTGTCACGTTTTTTCAGTAAAGGTATTTTTCAGGTGAGGTAACAGAGTGACAGAGGTTTAACTTCTCATTTTAACACAAATTTTGCCTGTCACTGTGGAAAAGTAATGTCGTGTACATACACATATTTGCAACCATAGCAATGGCCTAGTAATACCATAGCAACCGGGAATTCCTATCAACACCTTAGCAACCACCTGGAATTTCATTGCAATGGCCTAGCAACACCTTAGCAACCAGGGATTCCATGGGATTGGCCTAGCAACACTTTAACAACCAGGGATTTCATGGCATCGACCTAGCAACACCTTAACAGCCACCTGGAATTCCATAGCAACAGTCTGGCAACACCTTAGCAACCAGGAATTTCATGGCATCGACCTAGCAACACCTTAACAACCACCTGGAATTCCATAACAATAGCCTAGCAACTCCTTAGCAACCACCTGGGATTTCATAGCAATGGCCTAGCAACATCTTAGCAACCGGGGATTCCATGGCATTAGCCTAGCAACACCTTAGCAACCACCTAGAATTCCATAGCAATGGCCTAGCAACACCTTAGCAACCACCTGGAATTCCATAGCAACGGCCTAGCAACACCTTAGCAACCACCTGGGATTTCATAGCAACAACCTAGCAACACCTTAGCAATCAGGGATTCCATGGCATCGACCTAGCCACACCTTAGCAACCGCCTAGAATTTCATAGCAACAACCTAGCAATACCTTAGCAACTAGGGATTCCATGGCATCAACCTAGCCACACCTTAGCAACCACCTAGAATTCCATAGCAATGGCCTAGCAGCACCTTAACAACCAGGGATTCCATGACATTGGCCTAGCAACACCTTAGCAACCACCAGGGATTCCATAGCAACAACCTAGCAACACCTTAGCAACCAGAGATTCCATGGCATTGGCCTAGCAACACCTCAGCAACCACCTGGAATTCAATAGCAATGGCCTAGCAACACCTTAATGACCAGGGATTCAATTGCATTGGTCTAGAAGCACCTTAGCAACCACCTAGAATTCCATAGCAATGGCCTAGCAACACCTTAGCGACCATTTGGGATTCCAGAGCAACGGCCTGTTTTTGAAGTATTTGTGAAAATACTTTTTTACAGTACAGAGTGGCTCATGACTATAGTGGTCTTTATCACCTATTTATCTGTTTAGTGACATTAGCCTTATAGCTCTAGTGTAGAACTAAAGAAACACACTTCGGACATGAAGCATGTCTTGTCTGACTAGCTACACTTGGAGTAAGCCAAACTATCACTTTAACTTCCCTTTAATTCTGCTCCAGGTCCAACATCAGACCCGAAAATGCCACCTACAACTCCCACCATTTCCGGATGCACACCTTTGAGCGAGTGACCACCTGCAGCTCGTGCCACATGCTGCTCAGGTGAGACAGCCTCAGGTGAAACCAGCAGCCAAAACAGGAGCTGTGACCTCCTACACTTTATTTACATACACAGTTCATGGATAAAATGAGTGAGTAAAGATGTTAGCTCTGAATATGTGTTTATAGCAGTGAATGTGCCACAGAGATAATAGTTCACATATTAATAATTTAATTTATAGTCATTTCATGTGCTGTACATGATCAGGATGGTAGTAATATGATTTTTTATTATGCCAGAGATAATAAAATACTATTTAAGCATATGAACCTGAGTTAAACCATCAAATCCTGTTTAACACAGATTACATAGTTAGTTTTTCCAAAAGTAGCATTTGTGCATTAAATGTTTAAGCTACAGTCTTGATGGCCTTCCTGGCCACTTTATTAGAAACATCTACCCTGTGGTTCCTTTAACTGGCCACTTTATTAGAAACATCAACCTTGTACTTCCACTTACTGGCCATTTTATTAGAAACACCTACCCTGTACTTCCACTCACTGGCCACTTTATTAGAAACACCTACCCTGTTATTCCACTCATTGGCCACTTTATTAGAAACACCTTCCCTGTACTTCCACTCACTGGCCACTTTATTGGAAACACCTACCCTGTACTTCCACCCAATGGCCATTTTATTGGAAACACTTGCCTTGTACTTCCACTAACTGGCCACTTTATTTTAAACACCTTGTGGCAATATTTCCACTCTGCACAAATTCTACATCAGTAGATGAGCTACAGTCTCTAAGAGTGCACCAGTGAGGTGGAGCTATAAGGGAGGAGTTTCTGATAAAGTGGCCAGGGAGGGTATTTTGCTCATGTGTAATAATGTTATGTGTTTGTTGACACTGTCCACCCAGAGGGATCTTTAATCAGGGCTACTTGTGTCCGAAGTGTGGAGCTGGGGCTCATAAGGAGTGTCTGGGCAGACTGGCAGCGTGTGGACGAGCAGGTAAGAATGCACAATGTTAATAATAAATTTGGCTTGACAGTGGTTACTGTTCCTTGTTTTATTATTCTAGTGTTTTTGGTACTGTTTTCACGGGTCACAGTTTTCGAGCTAGAACCATGAAACATTGCAGTATTGTAGAGCCTATACAGGAATAGTGTGCTTGTGCTATTGGGACCGATCGTATGTACGGTTTACAGACAGCATTCACATTTTTTCCCTAGCAGTGGCTTAGCAACAGCTTAGCAACCACCTGGGGTTCAATAACAATGGCCTAGCAACACTTTAGCAGCCACCCAGGATAACAGGGCGCATGTCTTAGCAACCACCTGGGATAACATAGCAACACCTTAGCAACCACCCAGGATAACATGGCGCATGTCTTAGCAACCACCTGGGATAACATAGCAACAACTTAGCAACCACCTGAGGATCCATACCAATGGCCTAGCAAAACCTTAGCATCCACCCTGGATAACATGGCAACAGCCTAACCACATCTTAGCAACTGCCTGGGATACAATAGCAACAGCCTAAGAACACCTTAGCAACCCCCTGGGGTTCTATGCCAACTGCCTAGCAACACTTTAGCAGCCACCTGCTCTAACATGGCAACAGCCTATCCACACCTTAACAACCGCCTGGGATACCATAGCAACACCTTAGCAATCACCCTAGATACTGCAGCAATGGCCTAGTCACACTTTAGCAACCACCTGGGGTTCCATACCAATGACCTAAAAACAGCTTAGCAACCACCTGGCAATAGCCTAGCCATGCCTTAGCAACCACCTGGGATTCTATAGAAATGGCCTAGGAATGTCTTAGCAACCACCTAGGATAACATAGCAACACCTTAGCAACCACCTGGGGTTCCATACCAATGGCTTAGGAAAACCTTAGCATCCACCTTGGATAACATGGCAACAGCCTAACCACATGTTAGCAATTGCCTGGGATACCATAGCAACAGCCTAACAGCACCTTAGCAACCACCCTAGATACCATAGCAATAGCCTATCAACACCTTAGCAACCACCTGGGGTTCTATACCAACTGCCTAACAGCCTAGCCACGCCTTAACAACTACCTGTGATACCATAGCAACAGCCTAGCAACACCTTAGTAGTCACCCTAGATACTACAGCAATGGCCTAGCCACACTTTAGCAACCTCCTTGGATACCATAGCAACAGCCTAGCCATGCCTTAGCAACCATCTGGGATAACATGGCAATAGCCTAGCCACACCTTAGCAGCCACCTGGGATAACATGGCAATAGCCTAGCCACACCTTAGCAGCCACCTGGGATACCTTAGAAACAGTCAAGTCAAGTCAAATTTATTTGTATAGCGCTTTTTACAACTGATGTTGTCACAAAGCAGCTTCACAGAAATCCATTAAGGACAAAGTTTTAACATTAAATGTAAATCCTCCAGGTGAGCAAGCCAGTGACGACAGCCTAGCAACACCTTAGCAACCACCTGGGATACCGTGGCAACAGCCTAGCCATGCCTTAGCAACCACCTGGGATACCATAGCAACAGCCTAGCAACACCTTAGTAACCACCTGGGATAACATGGCAACAGCCTAGCCATGCCTTAGCAACCACCTGGGATACCATAGCAACAGCCTAGCAACACCTTAGTAACCACCTGGGATAACATGGCAATAGCCTAACCATGCCTTAGCAACCACCTGGGATACCATAGCAACAGCCTAGCAACACCTTAGGAACCACCTGGGATACTACTGCAACAGCCTAGCAACACCTTAGCAACCACCTGGGATACCATAGCAACAGCCTAGCAACACCTTGGCAACCACCTGGGATAACATGACAATAGCCTAGCCATGCCTTAGCAACCTCCTGGGATACTGTGGCAACAGCCTAGCAACACCTTAGGAACCACCTGGGATACCACTGCAACAGCCTAGCAACACCTTAGCAACCACCTGGGATACCGTGGCAACAGCCTAGCAACACCTTATGAACCACCTGGGATACTGTGGCAACAGCCTAGCCACACCTTAGGAACCACCTGGGATAACATGGCAGTGGCTTTGTCAAGCTAACTTAAAGCAAACTTTCCTCTCTGGTCTTATTTATGTTCACATCAAAGGGCCCAGTTTGTAAACACTGTTAAAGTTTTAAACATACAGTTCTCTCCTCAATACCCACAGCGCATACACGGAAACTAACCTGTACAAACAGCCTGTTTATCTACTGAAAATGCCATTTTTTGTGTTAAGGTCAGAATGAGGTCAGACCCAGAAAAGTGGCTGCTGTTTTTTTGCTTTTTTATTATTTGCTTATCTTTATTCAGATTGTTAGTGAGCTGAAGCTGATTACTTCATATTTGTATGTTTGTTTGTCGTTTTCTGTCGTTGTAGATCCTCTGATATCTAAAACTCAGGTAAGACTGAAACTCTGAGCTGGACTTGCTCAATGATGATTTTTACTCATTCAGACATGCTTCAGCCTGACTCTGCCTCGCTCTGCGGTTTATCTGTAAAGTGCACTGTACATGTGTTACATCTCTCCATATTCACCTTTATTGATTAAATCATTAATTTGAAACAGTCCACATCACATTATAATAACTTTATCACTCAAAAAACCCTGAAGCATGATGTCCTGCTCAGTCATGTGTGTAATATTGTAGAAACTGACCTGTTTTTCTACCACAGATGCAAGAAGAAGCACATTCCAAAATTCCCCCATAATTCAGTGTGTGAGATGTAAACAGAGTGATTCAGAGTGGTTTGGTGTGAAATGGTTCAGATGTCTTTACAGTGGTGGTGATAGGAACCAGGGGTCGCCATGACTACAACACAAATATAGGCATTTTATTTACTATCCAGAACCACCAGTGAACCTACACGAGTCTTCTGAGTTTATATGGAATGTTGATGATGGAAAATAGTGGAAAATTTGAAATAATAAGTTTTCTTTGGGGACTATTTTGCCTCACAGCGCCCTGCATGTATCCCTCCACCATGAATGGAGTTTAAGTTCTCTAATCTATCATAAAACAGTGTCTCAGTCATCAGGCAGTGAATTCATAACCATTTCATGTAGGAACTTTCTGTGAGGGAGCTTTTAGAGGTGGACGTCTGGTTCCTATCACCACCACTGTAAACAGTTCTGACTCTGTAAGTTTCTCTAGAACAGAGCGTTTCACACCAAACCACTCTGAACCACTCTGAATGACTCTGTTTATATCTAAAACTTTTAATTGTGCAAAATTGAATTGAAGGTCACTTTAAAGTAAATAACACTAAACAATTGCGGTTGACATCGGTTAAATCTGGTATCTGATTCAACACATTAATTGTCGAGGATCTTAATTTCTTCACTTTTATTTTTAACAAAGTGAATTAGTTGAATTAGTTTTAACTGAGTGTAAACCAATGCATGGTGTGTCCTCTAGTGGCCATTCCGCTGAATATTTTGAATCCAAATTCCTTATAATTCTGTTATCAGAGTCACAATATCAAACACTTATGTCAAACAATCCTGTACAACGGACATAATAAACAAACAGCAATTAAACACAATAAAAACACCTTAATAATGACTCACTCACTCACTCACAAAGAAAATCCGGTTCACTTCTGGCTTTCGTCCATGGAAAAATATCAACATCATCAACATCAGCATGTGACGATTCCAAACCTGACTGGTTGAAATGTGTCCTGCCCAGAGCTTAGTTTGTGCCAGAAAAGCTGGATCTGGATTCTGCACCTTGTTTACATATTAAATATAAAAACAACTCTTGTCGCTGTTTATCACTCGCGATTGCGCCACTACTGCTGTTATTGTTCATCCTTTAGAAGAGCTCAGTCACAGCTGTCACATCAATGAATTAACTATAAACTACTCAGCATTAGAAGCTCTTTGTTTAGTTTTGGGAAACTCATGTAAGAGAGAACATTTGTGGCATAAGTACCTCGCAGAGCTGCTTGTCTAATGTGTCTTAATAATCAATAAAATGCAAAATGCAGTGTGCACAATGATCAATATTAACTCTTGCTTTAATCGTTTAAAAAGGAGGCTTATTTTTTATTTTTACAGTGAGTGAGTGCACGACTGAAAGCACTACAGTAATCATATTATGTATTCCCTCTGTTCTTCTCCCACAGAGAGAGATCACTCCGAGGAAACGGTACGACCCAGGTCAGTACGTACACCACTTTCTGCTTTTCACTAAAGACTGTTTTAAAAAGCTTTTCTGTGTGGAACTCAAGAACACATGATTCTTAAACTCCCACCAAACCTCCACCAAACCCCTACCAAACCCCCATCAAACTTCCATCTAAACCTCCACCAAACCTTCACCAAACCTACACCAAACCACCATGAAACCTCCAACAAACCCACACCAAACCTCCACCAATTTCTCACCCAATCCCCCACCAAACCCCCCACCAAATGCCCACCAAACACCCCACCAAACCCCCTACCAACCCTGACCAAACCCCCTGCTAAACACTCACCGAACGCCCCATCAAACTTCCACCAAACCCCCCACAAAACCATTAATCCCCCCCTAAAAACCCAACCAAACCTCCACTAAACCCCACCAAACTACAGTTAAATTCATTTCTATACTATAAATTATATTTGTATATCTTCCCACCCAGTCAGCTTACAGCAGCCCCTCTCATTCATGCTGAAAGTCATAAGGAGTGTCAGCCCAGACTGCTTTTTGACCGAGGCACAATACAGGGCACCCAATCACAACAGAGCTCATTTACATATATCAGTCTAAAGGGGAACAAAAGTAACAAAAACAGCCTGTTTTTATTCTGAGGAATTAAGAGATGTTGGAAAACCGTTATATAAAAATGTATGAATAAATAAATAAACAATTTCTTTGTCTATGTTGTTTTACAGGTTTGCCCAGAATGTTGGTTATCAGAGATTATCTGGGGGTCCCCAGTCCTCCTGGTGGTCCGTCACTGAGTGTTCAGGTTGGTGATGTCATCGAGGTCATCAGTGCTAAGCTGGACAGCTGCTGGTGGCAGGTAAGTCTGAAATAATACTTCAGTTACTGCTGGTTATTTCGTTTTTCTTTTTTAAAGCTCAAAATGAAGGAAAATGCTGAAAAGGAAATCTACTGTTCTGTCCCTGCAGAGAAAACAAAATATGTAAAGTTTTAAAAATACTCAAAAAGAAACAATGCTAATTAAAATAAAAAATCCAGTCTACACATCACTGAATCAGTCACTGCTGTTTATGAGTCGAGCTGTTAAACTCAGAGAGAAAAGCATGAAATTCATTCTTTATGTGGCCCATTTCAGTCTGATACATAATCCTGCAGCTTCTAATAAATGGATTAAGATTAAGCTTGGACTAAATCGCAATGCCAAAAGTGATTCATTATTAAAATCCATTTTAGTCCAGGCTTAGACCTAATCCAGGCCTGGAGAACAGGCTCAGTATAAAGTGTATTTATGTGCAGATTTTGACGCTGAGACCAGCCGTCTTCCAGACCGAGATGAACCCAGATTAAACCTGGATTAACAGTTATGACTGAAAATTAGCAGTTTAGTCCAAGAGACACAACACACAGAGCAGGTACTATTTGGGTGGTGGATCATTCTCAGCACTGCAGTAACACTGACGTGGTGGTGGTGTGTTAGTGTGTGTTGTGCTGGTCTGAGTGGATCAGGCACAGCAGTGCTGCTGGAGTTTTTAAACACTGTGTCCACTCACTGTCCACTCTATTAGACACTCCTACCTTGTCGGTCCACCTTGTAGATGTAAAGTCAGAGACGATAGCTCATCTGCTGCTGCACAGTCTGTGTTGGTCATCCTCTAGTCCTTCATCAGTGGTCACAGGACGCTGCCCACAGGACGCTGTTGGCTGGATATTTTTGGTTTTCAGTCCAGCAGTGACACTGAGGTGTTTAAAAACTCCAGCAGCACTGCTGTGTCTGATCCACTCAGACCAGCACAACACACCACCACCACGTCAGTGTTACTGCAGTGCTGAGAATGATCCACCACCCAAATAGTACCTGCTCTGTGAGGGTCCATGGGGGTCCTGACCACTGAAGAACATGCAGAGAAACAGATGGACTACAGTCTATAACTGTAGAACTACAGAGTGAAACTATACGGTCAGTGTAGCTGATGAAGTGGACAGTGAGTGTAGAAATGAGGATGGTTTTAATGTTATGGCTGATTGGAGTGTGTATATATCTCCCCATCATACTGCTGTATTTACCATCTTCCTCCTGTCGTCGCTCCAATCTGTCCGAGCTAATGGCTCGGCTGGGAATTCACGCTGTGTGTATGTCCCCCACTTTTTTACCCACCGTTTCAGCCTGAGAAAACAACGAGACAGAAAAAGGAAGCTGGAGGTTCAGTGCGAGATAAACAGACGCGCCGTGTGCGCGTTAGCTGTGGAATGATAATGTACACAGGCTGCTTTATTTTATCTGGCGTGAAAACGCCACTTAACTGCTAATAAGGCCAGTTAATCTTCGGGGTCATGCGGCGCAGAGGAAGAGAAAACATAAAGAAAATATAAATAAATATAAAGCCCCGAGCGTTCGTCTGCCACGTTACCGCGACACAATTATATCTGTCCCAAAGCCAGAACAATACAATCAATCACTCTAATTTTATTTTATCTCGTTCTGCTGCCAACTGTTTACTCTGTAGGGGTAATAAGTTTAATCTTTATCATGCGCCTATTTGGGGCGGCTTAACAAATATAAAGGGCTTTCAGGAGCCGCGATGAAAATGTTATTAGGCTAAATAAATCACGGATATGCTTTAGGATCGGCTTTCCAATCTAATATCTAATCTGCGCCAGGGGCGCCGTTTTTTTTCCTCCTCGAAATGCATTTTACATTTTAATAAAAGAGAAGTTAAAAGAAGGACAAAAACGCCTTCATCATCACACAAACTATAAGTGTCTCGTTGAGGAGAGTTACACAGTGATATCAGAGGGAAGTTCATTTGTATTCCACTTAGGCCGGCTGCCAAATCCAGCAACAGCTACAGACCTTGATTATGAGATATGGCTGCATTTTCATGTTTGCATTACCATTTTGGATTTGAATTATGGTGTCCGAAAAGTATGTGGACAGTTATTCTCATGAGAATTCGGCTACTTTACGGTCGCCCAGTGCTTTGATTGCCATAGAAAAGCACTGACCAATAGAATGGGACGCTCTGGAGCAGCCACACATGGTCCTAAGGTCACCATGCCCAATGCCAAGCGTGGGCTAAAGGGGTATACAGCCCCCCAGGAGCAGTGGAACTGTGTTCTCTGGAGTGATGGAGCTCCATCCAGTACCTTTGGGATGAGTTGGAGTGATCCACAACTGACCATCCAACATCAGTACCTGACCTCACTAATGCTCAATCAGGTCCTCAGAGCAATGTTCAACATCTAGTGAAGAGTAGAGGCTGTTACTGCAGCACAAACTCACTATTAACACCTTCATTTCAGAAGAAACACAGGTGTCTACAGACTTGTGGACATTATAGTGGACATATATACACACAAAATATGTCCAAATGTTTGTAAAGAATATACAAAATTTTATTTGATTTTTGTTTCATTTCAAGTAATTGTGTATAATACTAGTAATTATGTGTAATTATGTATATTTATAATTGTTTGTGCTTGTAAATTTACCATATATACACCGGTCAGGCATAACATTATGACCACCTCCTTGTTTCTACGCTCATTGTCCATTTAATCAGCTCCACTTACTATATAGGTGCACTTTGTAGTTCTACAGTTACAGACTGTAGTCCATCTGTTTCTCTGATACTTTGTTAGCTCCCTTTTACTCTGTTCTTCAGTGGTCAGGACCCCCATGGACCCTCACAGAGCAGGTACTATTTGGGTGGTGGATCATTCTCAGCACTGCAGTAACACTGACGTGGTGGTGGTGTGTTAGTATGTGCACTGTGTCCACTCACTGTCCACTCTATTAGACACTCCTACCTTGTCAGTCCACCTTGTAGATGTAAAGCCAGAGACGATAGCTCATCTGCTGCTGCACAGTTTGTGTTGGTCATCCTCTAGTCCTTCATCAGTGGTCACAGGACGCTGCCCACAGGACGCTGTTGGCTGGATATTTTTGGTTGGTGGACTATTCTCAGTCCAGCAGCGACACTGAGGTGTTTAAAAGCCCCAGCAGCACTGCTGTGTCTGATCCACTCAGACCAGCACAACAGCAGGTATTGGATGATACCTGCAGATAATACTGGGCTTCCTCGAGGGGAGGGCAGGAAATGGAGAAACAAACACACTGACACACATAAAATCACTTAAATATCACATATCATTTTCTCAGGTGCCTGAAAGTTTTGCCCAGTACTGAGTGTATTCAGGAATGACACAGAAATAGAAAACTGAGCAGAAATGTGTAGAATTACTCGTAATTACTTCAGATTGCGTTCCACTGATTTACATTAAAATGCGTAACATGCATAGTGTTTTAGGTCTTGGGGACGACTTTGTATTTATATTTTTACCTCATTGGAAAAACACCAGCTGCTGTTTAGACTGTGTGGGCCAATATAAACAATAAATAAGTAATAACATATTTAAAAATCTTGTTAAATTAATATACTTTGAAGAACGCGTTTTACTTCTCCTATAAATTTTGCTACGACAATCACAATATATCTGTATATACTGTAAATATGTGTATATATGTGTATGTGTATATAAATGCAGGTCTTCAGTCGAGTGAGAAATGATCCCATTGGGAAAAACAGCATTAGCACATGAGCACAAAGACGCTTCAGCTTTGTCAGCATTGCACTGAGCTTTTTACTGAAATTGATAAACGCCAAAAACTGCAATATTTAACAAACATCTTCTGTTATTTTCAGCATGTTGTCATGATTGGCATGCTAACGCTAACGCTAACGCTAACGCCAATGATTATTCAGTGCTGAAGGCTGCTGTGTGGGTTGTGGCTGAGGGGCAGGTTTGAGCCGTAATTAACCGGGGCTGTGAATGCGATGCGCTGCTTGTTGGGAGCTAATTGTCTTTGGATTTATTAAAGCGAAAGGTGGGGGGTTTGCGGGGGGGGGCGGGATAATGGGGTGGGCTTCAAGGCAGATATAATGCAATTAACACTTCTGTGCCGTGCCAGGGCAAAATCCCGACGACGAGAGAGGTTGGCTTCTTTCCCAGCAACGCAGTCAGGCCCTGCCCGTGTGTAAGTACACATGCATATTCAGTAGTTTGGGCTTTTTTTCAGGCAGGCTAATCGCTAACTGATAAGCTCCAGGCTAATCACATGCTAATAGAGGCCCGATAAGAGCGGTGCTCTCGCCGAGACTGTGAAAGCACAAAGCTTTCAGAGATCTGATCTGCCGTTCGGGTTCAGATCAGCACCCGCATCCCTGTTTTGGTGCTCTAAAACAAATCTGTATCTGTATAATCTCTATTATGAGTGCCTTTGTTGCTGTTGATGTACGATAGTTTGACGTTTGATGGTGATGTAGGGTTGCTAACCCGAGCATCGGCCTCAGGACTGAAACAATTCGATTAAAAATTCAGTCCTTAAAATTTTTTAGTGGATTTTTTGTAAAGAAATCAGAACTAAATGCAACAAAATAAGAAAAATCTAGAAGTTGGCAACATTAAAGGGCCCATATGGTGGAAAACGTTTCAAAGTGTTCACTCTCCAGTCTATACATATAAACAAAACTGCAAAAACAGCCTGTTTTAAATTCAATATTTCTGTGATGTCACAAAGAGCCAACCCATTTTCATATAGCACATCAGCCCATTTAGCCTACAGCAGTTTAGCCACGCCCATTCACACTGAAGTTATATAGTGTTCCAGCTGTGAGAGATGTTTGAATGAGTCACAGCCAATCAGACCAGAGCTCATTTGCATGTAACAGTATTAAAGGTGCAGTCTGTTTAATACTAAGCGGTAAAACGAGGTTGGAAATGGCTGGAGAAATTAATTATGACCATATTTTTTGTGAATAAAGCCACATAGATGTTATAAGTGGACAAATAAAATACAATAAATGCAAGAAAAAATGTAGGATATGGGTCCTTTAATGACATATGTTATAATAAAAGAAATACTCCAGCAACTTTCAACATAATGTGCTATCTACTGTATTTGCAGTGTACATACAATCAGCACAGACAGTCATTTAGATGCGTTTACTTTAGGGCTGCTATTTTGATAGTTGACTATTATTGTGCATTAATTGACCTATAATTGATTTATTGTCTTAAATGAGTCTGTAAATTCTGAGATGGTTGAAGGATTATGATAAGATTATTCAATTTATTTCAAGCCTTTTTTTCTCATTATATTATTCTTAAAACAGACATATTGATTTATAATATATTGAGATCATTTCACTTAATAAAATTGCCTAAAACACAAAAAATTGCTAGAATTCGCTAGAAGAAGGTAAATAATCTGATAATATGCTTACAGCAGTCCCAACATGAGAAATATTATATGTACTGACTACATTTAAGATAATTTCACCTGACAAGATACCGTTATTTGCAGTATGTGCTGAAGTTTCTGGTCATAGTATTCAGTCATATGTTACAGATACAGTAGATTGAGATTAAGTTCTTATTGACAATATATTCCTTTAAGATTAACACTGCACTGTGGTTTATAACCTGGCTACACATTTAAACTCTGATTTTTGCCGTCCTTCAGGTCCCCAGACCGGTCGACTACTCTTCACAGCTCTGGTGAGGACTTCATATTCATCAATTAAACACTAAAACATGATTAATAATAATTAACAGTAATGAAGTGATGCTCCAGTTTCAGTCTGAACAGACTGTGATTGTGTTGACTCAGTAGAGATGATCAAAAATCAACTGGTTGTCATTTTTTAATAAAATGAGCCGTGAGCCATTACACTGTGGAATCAAGTGAAGTCAAGTCAGGCTTGATTGTCATTCCAGCTCTATACAAGTACACAGTGAAACCAAACAACCTTCCTCCAGGACCAACACAGGAACACAAGTGCAAGACAATACAATAAACACAGTGCAGACAATACAGTACAATAAATAACTACGAAAGACTTACAATAAATACAAAACAGTGCACAGGCAGCAGACGGTACTGCCTTATCTGTAGCAGGGTCTGGTGGTGGTAAACAAAAGTTGTGTTGGTTTCCATGTACTTACGTAGGGAAGAACACGAAACTTAAACTAGTAAAATGGAAATAGCACATCTGCGGACCCGCAGAGACCGCTGCTCGCCATGACTACAACACAAATATGGACATTTTATTTACTATCCAGAACCACCAGTGAACCTACACGAGTCTTCTGAGTTTATATGGAATCTTGATGATGGAAAATAGTGGAAAATCTGAAATAATAAGTTTTCTTTGGGGACTATTTTGCCTCACAGCGCCCTGCATGTATCCCTCCACCATGAATGGAGTTTAAGTTCTCAAAACTATCATAAAACAGTGTCTCAGTCATCAGGCAGTGAATTCATAACCATTTCATGTAGTAACTTTCTGTGAGGGAGCTTTTAGAGGTGGACGTCTGGTTCCTATCACCACCACTGTGAACAGTTCTGACTCTGTAGGTTTATCCAGAACAGAGCGTTTCACACCAAACCGCTCTGAACCGCTCTGAACCACTCTGAACCGCTCTGAACCGCTCTGTTTACATCTCAACCATTTAATTATGCAGAAATGTTGAAGAATCTGTTTAATTGTATAAACTGAGTGTGTATGTACTTATATGCATGTGCAGGTTTGCAGGGCTGATGGAGCGTCACCACGCGGAGGCGGAGCTGATGGAGAGAGAGAACAGCACCTACCTGATCAGACACCGCAGCCGAGAGTGCAGTGAATACGCCATCAGCATCAAGTAAGATCTGTCTGTAGTGTAGATCACTGAATACTGAAGTCTGGATTCATCATCATTTTACTCTTCTATTTAAAGGGCCCATATCATGGAAAGCAATGCTGAGTGAGAGAGTTTGAGGTAGTATGTAAACATTAATAAAGTTCCATTCGTTCCCCTGTACATATAATCCATACATGGAACCTAAACAGCACGTTTTGAATTCACCATGTCTGTGATGTCATAAACATGAATTAATTTGCATATGCCCATTCAGCCCCACGCAATCCGACTACAGCAGTTTAGCCCCACCCATTCACCCCACAGCAGTTTAGCCCCACCCATTCAGCCTACAGCAGTTTAGCCCTGCCCATTCAGCCTAGAGCAGTTTAGCCACACCCATTCAGCCTTCAGCACTATAGCCCCCCAGTTAGCCTACAGCAGTTTGGCTTTGCCCATTCAGGCTACAGCAGTTTGGCTTTGCCCATTCAGCCTACAGCAGTTTGGCTTTGCCCATTCAGTCTACAGCTGTTTAGCCCCACCCATTCAGCCTTCTGCCCATTCAGTCTATAGCAGTTTAGCCCCACCCATTCAGCCTACAGCTGTTTAGCCCCACCCATTCAGCCTTCTGCCCATTCAGTCTACAGCAGTTTAGCCCCACCCGTTCAGCCTTCTGCCCATTCAGCCTACAGCAATTTAGCCCCGCCCATCCTAGCTGAAGTTATAAGGAGTGTTTCAGCTCGGACTGCTTTCAGAATGAGTTCCCTGCTGTATGACGGGTTCAGTTTGCACCTTTTCTGTTTGTTTCCATGTCAAAAAGTGAGCAGAACATGAACAAAAACGTTCAGGATGTTGTTTCTGTCCCTAAAACAATAACTGCACTGTCAGTGTGCTGTGAGTCAGAAATAATTCATACAAAATTACAGCATGATCTCATTATTTCTGGTGATAACTGAAATTCTGAAGGTTAAAACTGATTCTGATTCATAAATGCAGTTGGGACTCGGTGTTATAGCGCACTGTAAAGCTCAGAGCGAGTGAATGCATTATGCATTGCTCTGTTTGCACACAGCTGAGAGTGAAGCGTGTTAGGTTTAATGGAGTGTGCACCCACGCTGTGTAAGTTACACTCTTTATTCCCTGACGCTCTGTATGATCTGCACTCTTTATTCTCTGATCTGTAGTGCGGTACACGCTTTACTCCCTCCTGCAGTGCACTGTGGTGAAGATGCGGAAAGCTGTAGACGGTCAGAAGCTCTGCGTTTGGCCTGGCTGACCTCAGCCGTGACCTTTATACTTTTCGTCCTGTTTTGCCTTGTTTTTATTTTGCTCTGTTTGGGCAGGTTGTCATAGGAATGTATGGAACATAACATTTATAACATACGGATACTCTGGCCTTCGAATGTTTGAGGACACATAGGCTGTGTTCGAAATAGCATACTGTGTACTGTACACTGCATAGAGCTCCAGTGTGTACTGCATATTGCACGCTGCGCTTCATCAGTAGTGTACAGTTCAGTATCCAGGAAACGACACAAGCCTTCTACTGTACTACTGGAATGGGGCGCGACTAGATGTAAACATCAGGGACTGAGCCAATCAGACCATCTCAACTCTGCCAAAAATGACACCTTAGGGAGTGAAAACATCTTAAATATAGTCAATATATCTGATATTTCACATTATGAGATTGATGTTGGCATATTATAAGATTATTTAACCTATTTTTAGACATTTTATACTTGTTTTAAGTAATTTTATCCAGTAAAAGTGTCTTATTCCATTGGCAAATGACAAAAAGTTAAAAAATCTTATTGTATTCTCGCAACAATCTCCTAATGAGAAATATTAGATATATATTAGATCTAAGATTTTTTTACTTGCTAAGAGATCAATTTTTGCAGTGAATACCCGCCTTGTTTTCCTCAGCCCTCCAATCACTGGGAATTCCCACAACTCTCCCAATTACTCTGGCATCGGTAGAGACTCTTTAGAGATGTCTTTACAGTGGAGGTGATGGGAACCAGGGGTCGCCATGACTACAACACAAATATAGACATTTTATTTACTATCCAGAACCACCAGTGAACCTACACGAGTCTTCTGAGTTTATATGGAATGTTGATGATGGAAAATAGTGGAAAATCTGAAATAATAAGTTTTCTTTGGGGACTATTTTGCCTCACAGCGCCCTGCATGTATCCCTCCACCATGAATGGAGTTTAGGTTCTCTAAACTATCATAAAACAGTGTCTCAGTCATCAGGCAGTGAATATATAACCATTTCATGTAGTAACTTTCTGTGAGGGAGCTTTTAGAGGTGGACGTCTGGTTCCTATCACCACCACTGTGAACAGTTCTGACTCTGTAAGTTTATCTAGAACGGAGCGTTTCACACCAAACCACTCTGAACCACTCTGTTTACATCTTAACTATTTAATTATGCAGAAATGCAGCCCTTCAATCACTGCTTAGCAACCGTTGCTACCTGCTTTTCAGCGTGTATGTTCATATTTTAGTCGAGAGCTGAGCCTGTTTGACTCGTACACCCCATACAAGGCTGAGGGCAGAGCATTGTTTTCTACCAAATCTCCAAAGCCACAAATAAACTTTTAAAATGTCAGCTTTGGATAGATCTGTGTTAAACCTGTGTGGTTTACAAACACACCTGTTTTCTGTTTTAATTTCCATTACACTCTCCATTAATATGAGCTACACTGTTAGAAATAAAGGTTCTGTTCAGGTACATTTTTCGTTCATCGAGGTACAAACAGTGTAAATGTTCCTCAAAGCTCCAACAGTGGTTTTAAGGTCTGATTGTGAACCTTAAATAAGTGTTTCCAGGTGAAAAGTTCGTATTTGTACCTTTTCATAACCGAATGTTTTAAACAGAACAGTAAAATAAAAGCCTGGAGACGAGACGGGGTGTGTGGAGTCAGTACAGCTTAGAACATATCATTTCAGTGGATTATGGTTCAGTTATGTTCCCTGACTAAAGGTACTGAGATGGACCCTTGAGGGTTCCACCCCAGTGACAAGAGGGGAATTGACCCAGTGACAGTCCAGTACCTTTATTTCTAAAGTGTAGTCTGACTGAATAATAAGAGTGTGACTCCACACAGGAGCCTGGAAAGCTGATGCTGAGTGGATTATTTGGCTGAGTTACTGTTTTATCCATGTTAAGCAGAAAGTCAGCTTTTAAATAGACAAAGCAAACCCACCTCAGGACCAGCAGAAAGAGCTGGTGTGGCTTCAGTGCAGCAGCATTTGGGCAAGCGTCTTTAATTTCGCTGTTATTAATGTATAGAAAGGCGGAATCCAAAGCTATTAAAAATATTCAGGCAGTTATGTCAGTGGTTACATCAGAGAACTTGCAGTGAGGAGAATTGCCGCTCTGTAATGTCTTCTAGGTTTCTCAAACGCTAGAGGGCGCTCCTGAGGTACTACATTACAGAGTGGCAATTCTCCTAATGACAAGTTCTCTGATATAACCACTGACATAACCACCAAAATGAAAGGGTTAATATGGAGCATTTGAGCAAAATTTTAGTTTATAAATGCGTAAACATTTTTAATATAGTCCAGCATCCTCAACACCACTGAATGTGTTTGATTACTTCAGAAAATGATCAACCAGCTTCTAAGACTGAACTTTGGAGGTGTGTCTGCAGATTCTTTGAGGAGCTGAAAGTGAGTCTCCTGAAAAGAATGGAAGCTGGAATAAAGGGAAAGAGTCACACACTAAACACTCACACAGCTGAGATTAGAGGCTTCTGTGTCATTTTCTGTTAAACGTGTTTTCTGAAAAATGAATAACTTCTGGCTGATTTTGTCTGGAATTTACATCTCTGACTTCTGCATTGAAGCTTCTAAAGGAACTACAGACTTTTGAAACTTTTGATGGGCGCATATGTTGCCCTGTTTTGAATGTTGTGAAAAATGAGGACACATTTCTCAGTGTGAATGAGTTTCATCCCTTCATGCTTTTCGCTGTTTGTCTGCTGGTCCTCATCTGCTCGGTCTCGGATGGCAGGAATAATTGTGTTTGATTGATTTTGGTGAAAAAGTGAAACTCATTGCCACCAGCTCTGATCCACTCGTGTTTTGGAAAAACAATAATAGGCGCTATTGGATAAATTGGATAAACAAACAGAAGCAGCAGGTGGCCAAATACATCTGGCATTTTACCGACAACCGGAATAAATGACCTGTTATTATTTGTTGTTTTGAAGAGTGCAGATGGTCCTGAAGCAGATGGAGATAATGTAGCTTCAAATACTCAGACTTTTTTCTACTCTAGGTTTGGTTTAGTGGCACGAAGTTCAAATATTTCAACAGTGGAGGGGTGAGGGAATCAGCGTGGTCTGCACTGTTTGTACGTAGCGTTATCTGCATTTGCTTGCATGCCAGTATAACAGTAATGACAAAACTAATACCTTAAAAAGAATTTCACCTGGTATACCAGATGAACCAGTATATCATCCACTACTATTGTCAGTAAAGAGCATGGCCGAAAAACCAATACTGAAAGATCTTCAACCCCTCAGACAGCACTGCATTAAAAACGAACATGCTTCTGTGATGAATGTCACCACATGGGCTCAGGAATACTTAAGAAAACCCTAGTCAGTAAACACAGTTCACTACATCTACAAATGCAAGTTTAGACTTTACTATGCAAGGATGAAGCTAGTTATCAACATTATCCAGAAACACCGCCGACTTCTCTGGGCTTGGACAGAAATGGACTGATGCTCAGTGGAAACATGTATTGTTGTTTGATGAGTCAAACTTTCAGATTGTTTATGGAAATAATGGACATTTGGTTCTCCAGGCCAAAGAAGAAAAGAACCATCCAAATTGTTACCAACATAAAGTCCAGATTTCTTTAGAATGAGTTTTGTGATCACAAGGGTGCAGAAAAGTGTTATAAAGTATTAATTACCAGTGCCACATCACATTTATCATTTGATATGATCACCACTACTGAACAGCAAAGGCATGAGCAGAGCATTACAGTCGGAACCTGAGTCTAAATTTGACAGTGAATCAAAATAAGAATCACAAACAGAATCAGAATCAAACTATGAATTATAGAATTATAATTAGAATCACAATCAGAATCAGAAACTACAAATGCAAGTGTAGACTTTGCTCTGCAAGAACAAAGCTATATGTCAACAACATCCAGAAACGCTGCCGATTTCTCTGGGCTCAACCTCATCTGATATGGACTAATGCTCAGTGGAAACATATATCATGGTCTGTTGTGTTCTCTGAATCAAAGAAGAAAAGGACCATCCAGATTGTTACCAATGTAAAGTTCTAAATCCAGCATCTGTCATGAGGTGGGGGGTTGTTAGTGGGGAAACTGCACCTATGTGAAAACACCATTAACGCTTAGGGATACATATACATTTTAAAGCTGCCCTCTAGACGACGTCTTTTTCAGGGACATCCCTACTTTCAGCAAGACAACACCAAGAAACAATCAAGTTAATTAGTTGAAACATTACATATCTTGTCTTTGTACTGTTTTCAATTGAATATAGGTCTGATTTTACATACATTTTTCCTACTGTGCCAACTTTTCTGGAATTGGGTTTGTATAACAATGGTTCTTTAAGGAACCATCCATTGAAAGGGAGCCAAAAGTGGCTAATCTCTGGCTTTGCCATATATAAACATTCTTTGCATATCAAAATAAATGCAACTGCAGCATCGATCATGTTAGTAAAGGAAAAGAGTAGATTAAAAAGCAGAATAAGCCTTTTTTGGGCCCTGAATTATTGGAGGACACTGTCCACTGTAGTGACCCAGAGCAGGTGAGCTAACAGTCTTCTCCTCTCCAGGTACAACAATGAAGTGAAGCACATTAAGATCCTGACCAGAGACGGCTGTTTCTACATCGCGGAGAGCAGGACCTTTAAGACTGTACTGGTGAGAGAGTTTGATTTGTGCTGCGTCTTTATTCACCGATAGTGTAGGGCAGGTTTCGTGATCAAAGGTTACAAGGCTGCAGAAAAGTGTTATAAAGTATTAATTACCAGTATCACATTTACCATTTGATGTGATCACCACTGCTGTACTGGAGAGGCATGAACAGAGCATTAGAATCAAAATCTGAGTCTAAATTTGATGGTGAATCAGAATAAGAATCACAATCAGAATCTAAGTATGAATCAGAGTTATAATAAGAGGAGAAGATGGATAAACTTAAATTTAAATGATGATGAGGGGAAGAGAGAGAGAGAAGAGAAAATAGAGAAAGAAGAAATGGAGAGAATATAGAGAGAGGAGCGATAAGCGAGAATAAAGAGAGAAGAGAATAGAGACAGAATAAGAATCACAGTCACAATCTATTAGATTCACAGTAAGAATCTAACTATAATTCTGAATCAATCGCAATCAAAATCAGAATTACATCAGAATCACAGTCAGAATCAGAATCAATCAGAATCAGAATCACATTCGGTGTCAGTGTCAGAATTAGTGTCACAATCAGAATCAGAATCAGTCAGAGTCAGAATCAGAATCAAAATCAGATTCAGAATCACAGTCAGAATCAGAATCAGAGTCAGTCAGAATCAGTGTCAGAATCAGCATCAGATTCAGAGTCACACTCAGAATCAGAACAGTCAAAATCAGTCACAGTCAGAATCAGAGTCACAGAATCAGTCAGAATCACAGTTAGAGTCACAGTCAAAATCAGAGTCAGAATCAGAGTCACAGTCAGAATCAGATTTAGTCATAGAGTCAATGTCAGAATCAGAATCAGGATCTGAATCACAGTCAGAGTCAGAATCAGCATTAGAATCACAGTCAGAGTCAGAGTCACAGTCAAAATCAGTCACAATCAGAATCAGAGTCACAGAATCAGAGTCACAGTCAGAGTCAGTGTCAGAATAAAAACATAATGAAATAAATTCAGTTTAATGAGTGATTAAGGTGCTGTTTGCCGTTCAGGGTCTGGTGGAGTACTACAAGCACCACTCACTCAGAGAAGGGTTCCGCAGTCTGGACACGACACTGAAGGTTCCCTACAGAGCTCTGGGCAGAGACTGTATTCACACAGACAACACCACCACAGGTCAGTGACTCCGTCTGCTTTTAGCAGCCTGTTGTTTCCTTTTGGAGTATCGATCCATTAAAACACTGATATTAACGGTTTATATTAATCAGTCATTTCAATATCTGTGTTTTAATAAAGCTAAATGAGCAGTGTGCTCGATAAAGTGGCCAGCAGAGATAAAATACTGCTGTGTGTTTTGGCTTAATGTGAAAACACACACACACACACACACACACACACACACACACACACACACACACACACACACCACACACACACACACACACACACACACACACACACACCACACACACACACACACACAGTCATCATCATCGTTCTTCTCCTGTGGGCTGATTTAACCTGTTTTATAATAAAGTCAGAACGATGAGCAATGAAAGAGGAGAAGAGGGATAAACTTTAATTTCACTGAACAAACAGAGCATGATGATGAGGGGAGAGAGGGAGAGAGAGAGAGAGAGAGAATAGAGGAGAGAGAAGAAATGGAGAGAATATAGAGAGAGGAGCAATAAGCGAAAATAAAGAGAGGAGAGAATAGAGACAGACATGAGAGACTGACAGAGAGAAAGACAGAGATCAAAGAGAGAGAGAAGAGATAGAATATAAAGAGAGAAGAGAATAGAGAGGGACAGAAGAGAGACTATAGAGAGGCATGAGAGAGAATAGGGAGAGGAGAGAAGAGAGAGAAAAGAGAGACGGAAGAGAGAATAGAGAGAGAAAAGAGGAGAGAGAACATAGAGAGTGGATAGAGAGAGGAAAGAGAATCGAGAGAAAAGAAATGAAGAGAAAATGAGAGACAATAGAAGAGAGAATAAAGAGTGGATAGAATAGATAGAGACATGAAAGAGAGACTAACAGAGAGATTAAAGTGAGAGAAGAGAGAATATAGAGAGAGCCAGAAGAGAGAGAGAATATAGAGAGAAGAGAATAGAGAAGAAATAGAGAGAGAAAAGAGCAACATAAGAGAGAGACACAGAGAGAAAGCTGTGAGAGAAATTAGAGAGAGAATAGAATAGAGACAGAAGAGAGAGAATAGAGAGAGGAGAGAAAAGAGAATAGAGAGAGAACAGAGAGCAACATAAGAGAGGGACTAATAGAGGGAGATAGATGAGAAGAATAGACTGAGAAATGAGAGAGAGTGATAGAGAGTGTACAGGTGAGTGAGTGGATGTGCATTTGGGGATTTTTTTGTTGTTTTTTGTTCTTTTGTCCCTCTTCTCTCTCCATCCTCTGTGCGTGGTGTTACATTAAAGCCATCACTCAGAGCTCCACCCCAACAGCCCTCCTCGCCCCCCAGCCGAACTCTCCGGCGGCTCCCGGGCCTCCAGACCCACAGACAGACAGACAGACCGGCGGCTCTGCAGACGCTGCGGTCTGTAAACACGTTCAGACACAAAGGAAAACATCTGCAGCGTGTTTGATAAGCGCGGCAGAAACTTCCAGAACAGATTCAGATACACAAACACAGCCGGCACGTCTGATCCGAACCCTCACGCCGCGCCATACATACCTCCACACCTAACCGAGGGAACGCAGCCGCTGCGTCCACTACCAATTACACACAACGCAGGTGTTTATTTTGCTTCTTTTTTGTGGCCGACAATGAATCAGCAAAAAAAAACAACAACAAAAAAAAACGAATAATAAAACGTCAGCAGCGCTGGTTTCCCCCAGAGGAGGGAGCATATTGTGAATTTGACATTTGCTGGTTTGCGTGTCTGGACGCTCAGATGTTTTTGTTCTGTGCAGCTGCTGCTCTGACAGGCCCTCACACACACTCCAACACACTCCAACACACTCCCACAGTCAGATCTGTCAGAACACCAGCCCAAAGGTGCATTAGACACTACGCTGGCTGTAAAGAAAGTGATCCAACAACAGCATTACTGTCATAAAAGTTCACATCCAGCAGAGAAATGAACTCAAGTTAAAGGGGAATTCCAGCCAATTTTTTTTAAAAATCTGCAGAATTTAATAGTCGAGATGTAAACAAAGTCATTCAGCGTGATTTGGTGTGAAATAGTTCGCTATCCAAAACCACCAGTGAACCTACACCTGTCTAATTTAATACTGCAGTCACTACTGGATCCACTGTTTAAATATAAAGATAGTAAAATAAGGCAAGGAATGGATTGGTGCTGTAATCTAAATGCTGCTGTTGTTAATTTACAGAAATAGAATGTAAATTTACAAAAACAAATGTTCTTATAGAAATAGACACTTCTATTTATTTTAATGGTTGTTATATAATTATTATTATGGTAAAAGACTATGTATCTCTCTACCTCTCGCTCTCTCTCTCTCTCTCACTATATATATATATATATAAATATATATATATATATATATATATATATGAAACATTATTGTTTATTATTACATTATACAACTCCGTTTCCAAAAAAGATGGGACGCTGTACAAAATATAAATAAAAACAAAATGCAATTTTGGAAAATATTTGCCCGGATTTTGAATTTAATGCAACACATTTCAGTAAAGTTGGGACAGAGGCAATAAAAACTGATAGATTCGTGTAATAAAAAAACACCTGGTGGTTGATTGACAACAGGTCAGTAACATGATTGGGTATAAAAAAGAGCATCTCAGAGAGGCGGAGTCTTTCAGAAGTAAAGATGAGGAGGGGTTCACCACTCTGTGAAAGACTGCACCATTAAATAGTGCAACAATTCAAGAATAACGTTTCTCAACATAAAACAGCAAAGAACTTCTGTTTTTCATCATCTACGGTACAAAATATTATTAAAAGATTCAGAGAATCTGGAGAAATCTTTGTATGTAAGGGACAAGGCCGAAAACCAGTATTTGCTGGCCGTGATCTTTGGGTCCTCAGGTAGCACTGCATTAAAAACAGACATGATTCTGTAGTGGAAATCACTGCATGGGCTCAGAAACACTTCTGAAAACCACTGTCTGTGAAAACAGTTCATCACTGCATCCATAAATACAAGTTAAAACTCTAAAACACAAAGAAGAAACCGAATATGAACAGGATCCAGAAATGCTGCCACATTCTCATGAAAACTGAAAAGAGGGGGTCAGAGGTTTTTATAAACGAGGCTTTGAAACTCAAAACTTAGACTAAACACCATGAATATGTATTTAAACCTGTGGAATTGAGCTGAACTCCTCAGCTTTCCTCTCTTCAGCCTGACGTGCAGCACTCAGTAGCTGCCAAATCAGCTTCTCATTAGGAGAGTCAGAGAAAGATGATCTGATCAGTTAAATTTGCAGAAGCTTTTGTGATAATTTGGGCCACGAAATGCAAAAGTGTGTGAATCCCTGATGCAGAGAAAGGACTGTTCTCTTCTGTTTATTCTGGTTTTGTTGATGTTCAGTAATAATTCAGTTTTCAGTTCCCTCATACCCCAAGACAAGTCCAAATGAGGTCGAGACAGAGGCCGCTAGGTTATGGTCTCGAGACCATGGTTTTGGGCTGGTCAGAGTCCAGACTAAACCATATAGAGAATATTTGGTCTCACATTAAACTCAAACTAGCTCAGCAGTGTTTTTCAGCTGTTTGAAGCCATCAGTGCTGAGTGGATCAGTACTGACTCTCCTTTCTCTAAAAGGCTACGTTCACACTGCAGGTAAAAGTGGCCCAAATCTGATTTTCTCACCAAATCCGATTTTTTTGTTTGGCTGTTCAGATTATCTTTTAAATGTGATCTTAAATGTGATCAGTCTGAACAGATCAGCTCCTAAACTGAGCCGCATGCGCAAAAGAACGGAGTGTCACATATTGTTGCAGATCGGATACGTATCGGATTTCAGTACCACATATGAAAGCGTCTTAAATCAGAATTGAAAATGTCAGATTCAGTGTGTTTATCTGTTCACACTGACACACATCTGTGTCACACATGAAGAAAAAGATCAGATTTGGGCCACTTTTACCTGCTGTGTGAACAAAGCCTAAGACTGTCTTACATTCAAAGTAGCCAAAGAGAAAATCTCTCCCATATTAATTTACTGCAGCTGTTTGTTTAACGATTTATTGTTAAGATCAGTAAAATAACAAAGTTTTTTTCATTTTTGGCTCTGCTAATTTATAATTTTTTTATTTTTTTTTATGAGAATGTATTTTATATATGCCACTTTTACGTCTGTGAAAACTGAGTTTTTCCTATTTCAGTTCTCTTCTCAGTTTTTCTTCCCAGGCCGTCTAACAGTTTTCCTGCTTTCTGTCTAAAATGCCTTATTTGAAGTTTTTTTCTCTCCTCTGCCACTGCGGTAAAGCTCCCGCGCTCTGCGGCTTTACTGCTCTGTCTCCCAGCAGCACCGGCTTTATCCCTCCGTCCACTTCACCTTTCTGGTCAGGTACGGCTAGAGTTAGCATTACCGTTAGCCTTTCCTCTTTGTGTACCCTACAACCTGCCTTCCACCGATTTTTCATAAATCCGCCATAATCCAGTGTGTGAGATGTAAACAGAGTGATTCAGAGTGGTTTGGTGTGAAATGGTCCAGATGTCTTTACAGTGGCGGTGATAGGAACCAGGGGTCGCCATGACTACAAATATAGACATTTTATTTACTATCCAGAACCACCAGTGAACCTACACGAGTCTTCTGAGTTTATATGGAATGTTGATGATGGAAAATAGTGGAAAATCTGAAATAATACGTTTTCTTTGGGGACTATTTTGCCTCACAGCGCCCTGCATGTATCCCTCCACCATGAATGGAGTTTAAGTTCTCAAAACTATCATAAAACAGTGTCTCAGTCATCAGGCAGTGAATTCATAACCACTTCATGTAGGAACTTTCTGTGAGGGAGCTTTTAGAGGTGGACGTCTGGTTCCTATCACCACCACTGTGAACAGTTCTGACTCAGCAAGTTTCTCTAGAACAGAGCGTTTTACACCAAACCACTCTGAATGACTCTGTTTACATCTTTATTATTGAATTATGTAGACATTTTGAAAAAGTGGTGGGATTCCCATTTTCGCTCTACCTCTGTGTGTGTATTTATCGCTTTGTGGGTACCAACCCCCTCCCACGATAATGACAACATTCACTAGAAGAAAAAAATGCTTTTTCCCCTCAAAAGTGCAGCTTTTAGTAGTAAAACAAAAAGGAAAAAGCTGAATCTGGCTGTTTACTCTTACTGTATGGCTGCGTAGGTGTATTTGTGCAAACAGGTAACGCCATAAAGGACAGTAAGTGTTTGTGTTTAATATTTGTTCATATCTGATCTGTTCTCTCAGTCTACAGTGCCATAAACCTTTATCCTTCCCTTTGTTTTCTCTCTGTTCTCTGCCTTCATCCATCACTAAGGCCAGAAATATACCCCCATTCAAGTACGGAAATGCTAATGCTAACATTCCGCTAAAGCACTGCACGCTGTTCACGCTCAGTGAGTCTTCTTATAAATCTCAGAACAAAGGGATCCATGCACAGATTAGGGTGTCTGTAAACACTGCCTTCATTCCAACAGCCACAGCAGCAGCTGAGGTTGAGGAATGTTTGCTGCTTTGCTTGTTGATAGACCCAAAAAAAAGAAACAGCTAAGCAGACGTGGTGTTCATGGCTGCTGAACTGAGCCAAGGAAGAACAGAGAGTTTTCAGTTTCTCTTCTGCAGCCACTGCTTAGGTCAAAACCCACTGTACTTCCCTGTGCTGCAGTGCTCACAACGCAGCTTGCATTGCATTATGAATTTTAGAAAGCATTCGCGTCAAATTTTAGAACACATTTTTTGTGAAATTCTAGAAAATAACAAGCGATTTTATGCAGCTCAAAGTGTGTGCATGGATGAACTTGCGTGGGATGTGTTTCTGGCTTAACTTGCATGAGGTATCTTTCTACCCTAATGCGAGGGGTATCTTTCTAGCCTAAGTTGCATGAGGTATCTTTCTAGCCTAAGTTGCATTGAGTATCTTTCTAGACTAATGCGTGGGATATTTCTCTAGCCTAAGTTGCGTGGGGTATTTTTCTACCTTAATGCATGAGGTATCTTTCTAGTCTAAGTTGCATGGGGTATTTTTCTAGCCTAAGTTGCGTGAGATATCATTCCAGTCTATGTTGTGTGGGGTATTTTTCTAGCCTAAGTTGCATGGGGTATCTTTCTAGCCTAAGTTGCGTGAGATATCATTCTAGTCTAAGTTGTATGAGGTATCATTCTAGCCTAAGTTGCATGAGATATCTTTCTAGTCTAAGTTGCATGAGGTGTCATTCTAGTCTAAGTTGCATGAGGTATCTTTCTAGTCTAAGTTGCGTGATGAATCTTTCTAGCCTAATGCGTGACGTATCATTTTGGCATAAATGTCTTTTTTGTCTGTTCTCTTTCTCTTTGTCTGTCCAGTGTTTTGCCCCCGTGTCGTTGGCATCGCGCTGGCGCGATATGACTTCAGCTCCAGAGACACACGTGAACTCTCTCTGCATGTTGGAGACCTAGTGAAGATTTACACCAAGTATGCTAATGGCTGGTGGAGAGGAGAGGTCAACGGCAGGGTAAGGAACACACACCCTCACCTGATTACACACCAAAATACTCTTTATCTTCTGGAAGTGAAGCCTCGCCTACAGTATCACTTACAATGAATAAGTAGCTTGAGAAAGAGCCTCTTTTCCTTGTTTAGAAAGAGACTGTTATCACCCCACTATATACATATATTTTTAAAAGAATGTGCTTGAAACAGCTTTAATGTGATTAAGCTTGTTTATGTTTGACTTGCAGGTGGGATGGTTCCCCTCCACTTACGTGGAAGAGGAAGAGTGACCATTAGAGCGAGGGGCCGTTACTGCTGCATAAACAATCTGCTGCAGGGATTTTGAACATAACTGTGGCGACTTCAGCACAACACACTGAAGGAGGCAGTTCAATTACATTATTTTGTATGGCACTTTCTACAGACATTGACCCAAAGCAGCTTTGCAGAGATGCGGGTTCAGACTGCAAGTGAGCATCACCAAGAGAGACAGTGTCTCAGCATGAGGAGGAAGAACTGAGAGGAGCCAAGTCTCGAACCTCGTTTCAATTCTGTTTTTAACTTATCTTCACCCTCTTTGACTCACCTCTCACTCCTCAGAAGAGGAGGAGGCGACAGTGAGGAGCGGATTATTTAAATGGAACTCACTCACCCACAGCAGTGAGCCAATCAGCTAGCCATGCAAACTTTGCAATGCAAAATGTTTTTTAAGAAGTCTGAGCATTATGTACATAATATGTGTGAGTAACTGCTTTTTCTGTCTATAAACTTGGAGTAGAACTGAAATGTCCTTCTTTCTGTTCTTGTGAGCCGTGTGGCCTTTAGCATGCTAACGAGCCAGCTAGCAGAGGTGTTGTGTGTCACAGAGGGAGCAGTTTGTCACAAATGGTGCTGCAGTTATATTCAGGAGCCTCAGCTTCTTGTTCGAATTTTCCTGTTCACCTTAAATGGTGCAGCAGTTAGGATATATTCAGATGCCTCAGCTTCCTGTTCAAATTTTCCAGTTCCACCTTAAATGGTGCAGCAGTTAGGCTATATTCAGATGCCTCAGCTTCCTGTTCAAATTTTCCAGTTCAACCTTAAATGGTGCAGCAGTTAGGCTATATTCAGGAGCCTGAGCTTCTTGTACGAATTTTCCAGTTCCACCTTAAATGGTGCAGCAGTTAAATTCATGCACAGAATGGAACTGCTGCTCGATTTAAGGTGGAATGGGGAAATGCGAAAAGGAAGTCATCTTCAGCCTTCAGGAATGTTTGGAAGGTCACCTGAACTCTCTCTCTCTCTCTCTCTCTCTCTCTCTCTCTGTCCAACTCTCTCTCTATCTCTCCCTCTCTCTCTCTCTATCTAACTCTCTCCCCCCTCTCTCTCTCCTCTCTCTCTCTCTCTGTCCAACTCTCTCTCTATCTCTCCCTCTCTCTATCTAACTCCCCCCCCCTCTCTTTCTCTTTCTCTCTATCCTGATTCTCTCCATTTTCTTTCTCTTTCTGTCTTGCTCTCATCTGTCTCTCTCCTTTACTCTCTTTCTTTCTCCCCCTCCATCTCTCTCTATCAGTCTTCATCGTCTCTTTCTTATCTCTTTTTCTCTGGGCCTCACCATTGGTGTCTCTCTCTATTTCTGTCTCTCTTTCCATCTTTTTCGTTCTCTTTCTTTCTTTCTTTCTTTCCTTCTTCTTGTCTTTTTTCTATTTTTTTCTCTCTCTTTCCCCTTCTCTATCAACCTCTTTGTTTCTCTCTCTCTTTATCAGTTTCTCTCTTTCTTCTTCATCTCTTTCTCTGGTTTCTCTCTCTCTTTCACTCTCTACTTTCTTGCTTGTGCTCTTTCTTCTTTTTTTCTCCTACCTCTCTCCTTCTCTCACTTCCTCTCTTTCCTCATTCTCTTTTTTTGTCTTTTCTCACTTTTTTCTCTCCTGCTGTCTTTCTCTCTTTAAGTCACTCTTTTCTCTGCTCCTCTCCATCTTCTCTGTTATTTCTGTCCCTTTCCATCTCTTTCTTACATTTTCTTCTTTCTCTCTTTCTTGCTTTCCCTCAGATGCTCTGTTCCTTTCTCTCTTTCTCCTTGTCATTTTCTCTTTTTCTTTCCCGCTTTTCTCTCTGACTTCTCTTTCCTCCCCCTTTGTCCTTCTGTACCTCTCTCTCTCTCTCTCTGTCACTCTCTCTCTCTCTCTCTCTCTCCCTCTCTCTCCCTGTCGCCTCCTGCTCTCTTCACGCTGGGCCCGGGGCCTCCTCTCTCCTCCTGTTAAAATATTTAAACTCCTTGGACCTTCCTGAAACTCCGGAGTGGTGGCAGGCCGAGGGGGAAAAGCCCTGAGCTGGTGTTTTTCTTTTCGTTTTCTTTCTCTCTCTCCGTCCTCCTGCGCTCTCTCTCTCTCTCTCTCCGTCCCCCTGCGCTCTCTCCGTGATGCAGTCTGCTCACCTTGTGTTATTATTGATGACTTCATCCACCATCTGACTCCGCAAAGTCGGGCCATAACTGTGAGGCTGTCACGCAGACGTCCAGTGAGGAGAACGTTCAGCGTCAGCACTCTCACAAACTCTCTCTCCCTCAGTCTCCCTCTCTCTCTCTCTCTCTCTCTCTCTCTCTCTCTCTCTCTCTCTCTCTCTCTCTCTCTCTGGGTGGAGAGATATCCATCACTGCTCAGTTAACACACAGCACTCTGATCAGATCCATCACTCTGGAGCTTTAAACGCCGCAGACTTCAGAAAAATCCTGGAGTTCTCCCCTCCGTCTGCACCACATACAGATGGTTCTTCAAGGGTTCTTTAGTAAAGACAATGGTTCTACATAGAACCATGAACACTCATACTTAAATGGTTCTCTGCATGGTGAAATGATTACAAGCTTTTTTGTTGCTACATAGAACTCTCTTCAAAAAGGTTCTATACAGAACCATATACAACACGTTCTGCATCAGTCTGATGAACCATTTCACCATGCAGAGAAACTTTAAGCATGCAGATGTTAGCAGCTGGGCGGCTGGTTTGGGCGTCTGAATATTCAGGACTGAAGCCCTGAAGCTGCAGCTCTCACAGCACCAGCGCTGAGGAATAAAACACTGGAAATTTCATGGAGTAAATAAACTTATTTATCTCACTTTACACTCTGCAAGCTGGGACTGACTTCTTTGGCACTGACGATATAACGTTATTAACACTGCTTATAAGGCATTATGTTCACAATTCATAATGTATAATAAACACGGCTACAAAGTGTAATTCATTTTATAAATATTTATAGCCATGTTTATGGTGCCTTATGAATGAATTATAACATGTTATGAATGTGTTTATAGATGCTCACAGAAAGAGGTACTGAAATTTCGGTAACACTTTCTATGAATGTCACGTTTGTAAGCATCTATAAACACATTTATAACAAGTTATAATGCCTTCATACGGCATTATAAACATGATTATAAACATTTATAAAAATGAATTACACTGAATTACACTTTATAGCCATGTTTACTATACATTATGAATTGTTAATATAATGCATTATAAGTAGTGTTAATAACATGTTATACTGTCAGTGCCAATGAAGTCAGTTCCAGCTTGGAGAGCGTAAAGTAAAGACAAATACCAAGCTAACGGTGGTGTACATTACCTTTCCCACATTGGGTAAAACACTGATGGCAGCTCTAGTTTAAACTCTGACATTTGAAGCCTGTAATGAGCTTTACTGTGAATGTTTTAGTGTTTCAGTAAATCCTTCAGTAAATACTTCAACTTGAAGCCTCACTCTGAACACTGGAGGAGGCTTTAGTACAGTACGCTTCACTTTACTTAGAGCGGACAAATACCACTTATGAGCTCTTATAATTTGTTATGAACCGTATTTATAATGTATTATGTTAACAATTCATAATGCATAATAAGCATGGCTATAATGTATAATGCATTTTTATAAATATTTATAGCCATGTTTATAATGCCTTGAATGCATTATAACATGTTATGAATGTGTTTATAGATGCTTACAAAGGTGACATTCATAGAAAGTGTTACCGAAATTTCTTCTTAAATCCCACTTACGCAGTTTTGACGAAGACTCTGACTCACCAGTGTTCTCTTATGTGGGGTTTGTTCTTAGGTAACAACAGAATCTACACACTCAAGAGCACAAAGGTGAGAACAGTTCTGCGCTTTAAGAACACATCATGATGGAGATTTTTTTGAAGGACCTTTCTCAAGAAGAGAACTTGGCCCACTGACCTGTAATATTCTGCATAATGAGCTGCACAAAATCTAATTAAACTTAACTTTGGCCCAATCCTATTTCAGGCCCCTACCACTCAGCCCTATCCATCTGTATTCCGCATTCACATCTAGGGGTAGGGTGTCCTGATTCTTGTTGAGATAGAGGGGGAGGGCGAAGTGTTGGGGCTATATGACCCTCCAAACGGAGGATTTTCAGAGACTCTAAACAGAGTGATATGAGAAAAAAAGAAAAACAGGTAAGATGGAGAACAAGAGATCAAAGAAACGCACAAATGTGAGAATTTTCCCTGTTAAAAAATGACAATAACCACTGTTTTATCTTAGTTTAATGTCGTTTCAGTGTATTTTGGTCCTTTTCTTCATAATGAGCACAAAAATCACTAGTGGTGCTGACGTCTCGGTAGCTAGCTAACTTTACCGTTCCACCTTAAATGGTTTTACATTTTGGTGCCTCAGGAGTCAGAACTGCTGCTCCATTTAAGGTGGAACAGGAAAATCTGAACAAGAACCTGGTGAATATCTGACTTCAGCTTCGTATCACTGAAGAATTAGGGGTGGGTGATAATAAATAATTGCCCCCCTCTTTGAAGGCATATGATGCCCTAAATGTAACTAAAGCCCAGCAGTGAGGAGCTGAACTTTACCCTCCTCTGCTGTCACTGCAGACTAGCAGGGTCGCCTACAGAGCAGCGCTGGTAGCTGTTAATGAAGTGATGCTCTTTTTATTTGAGGGTCCCATTTCAGAGGGAAGATCTCAACCACTACCCTGTAACTCAGTTCCAAGGCGTTAGGGTGACACTCAAAAACAAGAAGCAGGGGTAACAATCAGAAATGGGACTGGGCCAAATTATACTCTCTTTATAATGACACGTGCTGTTGGTCAGTGCTCTTTAAGCACTGACGATGTCCACGATGTGCTCACAAAAGCCTGCTGTTCATCGTGAAATTTATCACATTAATGCTAAAATATTTTCATATTGCCCAAATCTACTTTCAACAGACTCTTAAGTTTTATTGAGCTACATTACAAAAATGTCAGTTATAAATTGTATGGTTATCGCTGGCGATAAGATGTTATGAACCAGATTTTTGTTTTATCTTGATGGTGGAGGCGGAGCTAAAGGGACGAAGTTGTCCATCATTTTTACTGTACAAAACAGTATTTTTACTCTTATATAAAACTTTGAGTATGACTCTCACTGTGTCCTGCTGTACAGAAAGAAGAAATACTGAAAAAAGTACAAATTCCAGTTTCAGACACTGTTATGATTAATGCCTTTGACCTTTTTAAATATTTATCGTAGTAGATGATCTTTGGTTTGCATAGAATTTCGGTTTGTTTCATTCAAAGTTGGTCAATATCTTGAACTTTTTTTGTTACCATAAACTGTTTACAAACTTGCCGAAGTGGCTAAATAAAGCATATTTAAAATACAACTGATAACTGACTAGACAGACACACAGATAAATAGATAGATAGATAGATAGATAGACAGACAGATAAATAGATAGATAGATAGATAGATAGACAGACAGATAAATAGATTGATAGACAGACAGATAGATAG